CGTATACAATGCCTGCTAAAATTTCTGAAATCGGATAAATGGCTTAACGGGATTTTCAGCAGAGAGGGGAAACGAGCAAAATGATAATGTATTTTACAAAACACTGAACATTATGCAAAACCAGAGTAAATATGCATGTTTGCATACTTTAAATAATTTCTTTTTTTTTAATCCAGAATTTGGACTACCTGGGCACGGAATTTCTCTCCTTCATTGCACAGAGTTCACGCAGCCCCTGTCTTAGCACACTGTGGGCTCTTTGGTAGTTTTAAGTTACAGGTTCTGTGTAGGTGGCAGCTGTGTGGCACAGGTCTTCTCTGCCTACGACATCATCGGCCTTGAACACATGGCTATGGGGCATTAGCACACCTATGTTTCCCTTTGTGACGTCACAGATGTAGAGTACTTACCTTCCGTGGCCTTTGGGTTATGGGCTTTGTTGAGGGGCAGCCTTTCTCTGTGGCTGTGGACTTGGTTATGATGCTAGTCCCGTGTCATAGTGCAGGGCTTGGAATCTAAAACAAAATCAAAATATAAAACCACAAAATATGTAATCAAAATAAAAACAATACCCCCCCCAAAAAAAACACCAACCACATTTTAAAAGGTCATAGGATGTCAATCAAATCAACCACCTGGTTAAAAAGGAATGTTTTTGCTTGGCGCCTAAAGGTGTCTAATGAAGGCACCAGGCGAACTTCACTGGGGAGAGCATTCCACAGACAGGGAGCCATTGCAAAGAAGGCCCATTCTCGTGTTGCCACAAACCCTTTGGTCTCTTTGCAGATGAGGAGGATAGCGGAGAGGATGATGCGGATGTGGTGACCCGTGCAGCCCTGAAGCGTCAGTCCCAGCAGATAATAGAATCGAAGACCAAACGTCGCACCCGCTACAGAAAGAAGGAAGGGAAGCTGCATCCTATGTAGCCCCCCTCCATACCTTCCCCTGATCCTGCAGTGCTCCAGAGTCCTTGGGCTATTAAAGGTGCCTCCCAGCCACTGATTTTCCGTGTGAGCCAGTCCCCCACTTCACTCCCGCCAAGTCTGCAGGCCCCAGGAAAGGAGAAACATGACCGCTTTGTGGATCTGTTTCCCATGCTGGCAGAGAGCAGGCAGGGACCTACAGTGAGCTGCAGCCAGTGCATAGCTCCTGCTCTCCCTGCCTTTCAGCTCTCACCTATGTGAAAAGCATGGGGTCTTCAGTGGGTGGGGTGGGGTGGGGTGGCTTGGCCCTGGTGTTTGTCAGGAAGGAAGTGGATGCACCTCGCCCACCTCCCAGCTAACTCAGACTCTTTTCCAGAATCTCTCAACCCTGAGCAGAGATACTCCCCACCGTGCCCTTAGTTTGACTGATTTCCCCCCTTGCTCCAGGCACAATCACCCCCCTGGTATATCTGGATGGAGGTGGGGGCTCAGAGTCAGTTATACTCTGGTTGCGGAACGGGGTTACTATGTGCTGTGTTTGCTGTGTATGATGCAATAAACCCTGTTCAGGCTGAGTTGCCTCCTTGTCTGTGCTTTTGTCAGCGATGGGGTGGACTATAAACAGAGATCAGGCTGGTATAGAGAGCCAGTGTGGTGTAGTGGTTAAGAGCAGTGGACTCATAATCTGGTGAACCGGGTTCGCTTCCCTGCTCCTCCACATGCAGCTGCTGGGTGACCTTGGGCCAGTCACACTTCTCTGAAGTCTCTCAGCCCCACTCATCTCACAGAGTGTTTGTTGTGGGGGAGGAAGGGAAAGGAGAATGTTAGCCGCTTTGAGACACCTTCGGGTAGTGATAAAGCGGGATATCAAATCCAAACTCTTCTTCTTCTTCTTCTCTTCTATTGCAAAGGCTAAGGAAGCAGATGGTTGGGAGGCCAAGCTGTTCATAGGGTTGGCTTTTTGGTGTAAATCTCCTGGATGCAGGTTTTTTAAAAAAGAAGCATAGCCTGGTTAGTTGATGTTAGCCAGGCAGGTGTCCCTCAGCTTCTCTGCTGACTGACCATCAGTGGTAATGTCAGATCCACAGTGTGTGGCTGTCATTTCAGACAATCACACCCACTAAAAAATGGTGAATTAAAGGACCAGAAACTGTATTGTGGGATCTCACATATCTCTAATCCACATGGTGCACTCCTTCTAACTGGGCTTGGCCCAGGTTTGTTTGTATTGCAAACAAAGAAGAGCAGGCAGCCTTCCTTGGTTGTTTAGATCCCATGTTATGTATCCCTGACTGGCTGGGATGCTGCTGTGAAGGCTAAGAATGTCCCCATGGGGGGGGGGAGGATCTGAGAGAGCAGAGGTGTGGGGAGGGATTGGGCTGCAACACCCTGAACAAAAATGCAGGAGTTGGTAGTGGGTGTGCTCAGATAAAGTCATTTGTGGTCTCATGGGCAACTGCTCCAGTAAATGATATCATGTAGATTTTTTTTGTACAGTATTTGTTTCTGTCCTGTGTGGCAGAATCATAGAATTGTAGGGTTGGAAGGGACCCCAAAAGTCATCTAGTCCAGCCCCCTGCGATGGAGGAATCTCAACTAAAGCATCCCAGATAGATGGCCACCCAACCTCTGCTTGTTGTTTTTGTTGTTTCATTGTTTAGTCATTTAGTCGTGTCTGACTCTTCGTGACCCCCTGGACCTGAGCACGCCAGGCACTCCTGTCTTCCACTGCCTCCCGCATTTTGGTCAAACTCATGCTGGTAGCTTCGAGAACACTGTCCAACCATCTCGTCCTCTGTCGTCCCCTTCTCCTTGTGCCCTCCATCTTTCCCAACATCAGGGTCTTTTCCAGGGAGTCTTCTCTTCTCATGAGGTGGCCAAAGTATTGACGCCTCAGCTTCAGGATCTGTCCTCCTAGTGAGCACTCAGGGCTGATTTCCTTCAGAATAGATAGGTTTGATCTTCTTGCAGTCCATGGGACTCTGCTTAAAACATCTGCTTAAAAACCTCAAATAAACCTCCCGAGGGAGTCCCTTTCCACTGTCAAATATCTCTTGTCAATTTTGATTTCTATTCTTCCTTTCAGTCCACAAAGACCCTTGGAGCAGCTTCCATTAAAAACAAATCAGATTTATCCAATCACTCGGGGGACTCGCATTGCTCCATGGTGCATGTCCTCCCCACCCCCATCCCACCCCCTTCATTAAGGCTGCAATATTCACTTGGACTGTGTGCACATTAGTGGCTTAAAGCAAGGTTGTTTTCCTCTGCTTTGTTTCAAGTCACATTTGCACGTGGTTGGACACACCAGAGAGGGGATAGGGGTGCCCACCTGATGTGCATTACCTGATTTGTTTTCCCACACTTGCAATTCCATCCCCCTGCCCAGCTCCTGTTCAAGGAATCTGCCATCTTCATATGCACAGATGCTGTCTGAACTGAACACAGCTCAGCTTAAGTGCACCTTGCATTTTCAAGCTGGATGGAAGTGGGGGGAAGGAATGAAGGAAGATAGTTTCTCAAGAGACTACAGGATACCTATGGATTTTGGCTAACGTGCACTTCAGACACCAGTGGCAGGAGCACACTGGAGCAAGGTGTACATAGCCTTGTAAGGACAAGTCCTAGTGAACTCAGTGGGACTAATTTTGGAGTAGATTGCGCTGTAAATCGTTGTGGCTCTTCTTACTGACTCTCACTGAGCTGCTCTTAGACACAGCAAATGGTTCCCACTGGCCAAGGTGAAGTGACTTGGTGAGTTGCTAAGCCACCAGCGGGTGTTTGACTCATTTTACGACTCCTGTTTGCATTTTATCATATTACAGTTTTATTATCATAATGCCTATTCAGAAGCTGCCCTGGAAACACTCCTGGGCAGCACAGAATTGTGAAAAATAAATATTTTCTGCTGTCCAGGGACACGGATCAGCTGGCGACAAGGGAATGCCAGGGGTGGACTTTGGTAATCGTTTGTTATTTGATGAGGCCAAAATTTGGCACCCCCAAATGGATCTTCACAGTTTTGCACCCTCTCAGCTCAGCACTCTGTGGGGGTGGGGGGTAGGAAGCCCCCACACTGCCCTAAATCCAGCGCCAACACCCAATAATGGCAAAAGCACACACTCCCTGATGAGAGCCAGTTTAGCAAAGCAGCTGAGAAACTACAGTTGCAAGCAAGGAAGCCCCGGGTTCAAATCTTGCCTCTGCCACAGGCAACCTAAATAGGTTTAGCCAAGCTACTACTCTCACCTCTTCCCCTGTCAGCTACTTGGGGTGATACTTTGCAGGGCTAGTGTGAAAAATGCTTGCGATGATGTCTGTAAATCCCAGCTAATATTCAAAAGCCCCACAACAGGAGTAACCAACATGGCTCCTCCAGGCATTGCAGAACTACAGTTCCCACCTTGACAAGTATTGTGAATTACTCTCTAGATAAGAGTCCTGTGTAATATTGGATTGGACGAAGTGAATATTGTTTATATATAGGAGACAAATGAAGAATCGGAAATTCTTTACTTTCAGAATTTTATTTTTCTGTCTCAGCCTCTTTTCTACACTCTTTTTTATTTCTCTCTTTTTCTACTCCTTTCTCTCCCTGTCCCCCTTTTCTTTCTTCATGTTCTTATTGTTATCGAGATCAAAGCCTTAGTTTGGTTAAACCAGGCAGAGGGCCTTCTCAGTAGTGGCACCCGCCCTGTGGATTGCCCTCCCATCAGAAGTCAAGGAAGTAAACAACTATCTGACTTTTAGAAGACATCTGAAGGCAGCCCTGTTTAGGGAAGTTTTTCATGTTTGGTGTTTTATCGTATTTTTAATATTCTGTTTGTAGCTGCCCAGAGTTGCTGGGGAAACCCAGCCAGATGGGCGGGGTATAAATTATTATTATTATTAAAGGGGAAATATATTTTATATTAAGCTTTGCAATTTCTCTCTCTTTGTTGACCTAATAAAACTTGCTAGAAAAAAAGGGGGGGGGAGCCTCGTGTTAAGAAATGAAAAGTAAGTAGAAATGCCGAGGGGAGGAGAGGAGGTCTTTGGGAATCTTTTAGGAAAATTGTCTCTTGCGTAGCTCCCTTGAGATTCCACCCCCATCCTTAATTCTCGAAGGAAGAGGTCCCCGGGCACCAGGCGCAAGAAGCCAACCTGCATCGGCCCGCACTGTAAGGCTACCGGATCCGGGCCGGGGCGGAGGAAATTTGCACGGCGGCTCCGCCTCCTGCTGCCTCTGAGCTCGCTGGCGAACCGGACGGCTCCCGAGGAGGAGTCCCTAGCCCGGATAGGAGCTCTCAGCCCCTCCTCGCAACAGGGCCGGACAAGGCGCCTGCCCCCGTCGCCTGCCCCATGCAAAGCCCCGGGAGGGACCGGCCGAGGCTGCTGCTTCCGAGGAGACCCGACGAGGATGGGCAAAGCGGAGATTGCAATGGTAGGGAGGCGAGGCAGGGAGGTCGGGGGTGCAAGGGGGGCGCGCAGATGTACAAAAGAGACCGGCTTGCTCCTGGAAGAAGAGGGGATTTCGTAAAGGGCACCTTTTCCCACGCCTGCGCTTCACCTCCAGAATTTCCTCTTTCCCCCCAGCTCTTGAACCCAAGCCCCGCTGCATTCGCCTCCTTCCACTGCTCTCCAGATAGACACTCCCCCCTCTTATCACGCTTTAATCGTCGGGGGTTAAAAGCTGCCTGAGAAGCAGCCGATCCGCAAGGCAGTTAAGCCGCCGCTTAAGGGAGCCCAGGGCGCGTGCCCGCGGGTCTTCGGGTGCCGCGCCGCGTTGGAGCTGATCCTGAACGGGGCTTTGCAGCGGAGGGAAGCCTCCAGGGTTTGCAAGCTGAGACGGGAGGGGCTGCAAGACCCTATGCCCAATGAAGTCAACGCGGCTTTGCACAAATCTAGGACTGCTGCTCTGGAAGCCACAGCAAAGGCTGGTACCCTCTCGCCATCTTTCCCCCCAATGCCAACTGCAGAGAAAGTGTTGCACGGCGCAGCTGTGGCTTAGGATGGGAGGGAGGGATGGCTTTTATGTAGGGTTGTGGTGAGGTTCGGATATTGAAAGCGTCTCTCCATGAGAAACAGGAAAGTGCAGAACATAAACTGAAAAGGAAAAGTACTAACTCCAGAGGCCAAGCTTCTAATCCCTTGCTCTCAAATTCTTTTAATTCACACACACAGCCCTGCTTCTCAGGATGCTTCTCACGAAATGCAGGATCTGAATCCAGACCCCCCTCCACTGTTCATAACACCTTCTCTTCACTGGAGATAGGCCAGACATGTGTATCTTTAAATAATGCAGAATAGGAAAGAGATATACAAAGAGGGAAACAATATCACCGCATGTTTAAAAAGAGGGACGCGTTTTGGGACTTTGCAGATGGATTTCTACATATCCTAATATTTATAATATGAATTTCTGGTACGGTATTTGAATTCATAATTTTTATAACATTTGACAACAGGATACAAAGCACGTGCGTGTACACACAGAGAGAGTTCATATTGTGGCTTTGCAAAATGCTTAAAGTTAGTTGGCAATCATGCATTTTGTGCATCAATAATGTTGCTATTATTCACTGATTTCGATATATTTATTACTTTCCTGGTTCAACTCTCTCAGTTATAAATGATGTTTCCAAGTAATGCAGAGCCACAGTATTTAGGGGTGGGGAGAGATAAAGGGTGTTTTTTGTTTTTATTTTTTTAAAAGAGAGAGATGCCCCTTTTTCGCTTCTGTGCCCCTTTTAGTGAGACCTGGCGGAGGGCACTTGTGCTGCCTTTGCCTTCAGCCACTGGTACCTGGCACAGCGCAGTGCAGATGGTTGTGGTGTTACATTTCCACCTCTTGCAGGACCGGTCTGGCGGCTCTGCTGAGCAGGAAATGTCAAGGAAGGTCACAGGAACGAAGCTGGAGCAACTGGATGGGGTGCAGAGACCAAGCGGGAGGAATTCTTGTCCCCAGGCAGGGCTGCTTTCATCCTTTAGCGCAGTCACGTCCAACTCTCAGGAGACTGCAGAACTGGCAGAGTTGCTGAGCTTTTTTTAGGGAGCCAAAGTTGTTGAAATTTATCAGGGGGTCCAAGGATCAACAAGGATCAACCAGGGACATCCCTACGGGACTGCCTCTCCTGGTATGCCCCGCAGAGGACCTTAAGGTCCACAAATAACAACACTTTGGAGGTCCCAAGCCGCAAGGTGGTTAGATTGGTCTCAACTAGGGCCAGGGCCTTTTCAGTACTGGCCCCAACCTGGTAGAACGCTCTGTCACAAGAGACTAGGGCCCTGTGGGACTTGACATGTTTCCACAGGGCCTGCAAGACAGAGCTGTTCCACCTGGCCTTTGGTTTGGACTCTGTCTGACCCTTATGTTTCCTCCCTTTAAGGTTTTGATTTATGGGCTACTATTAAAATGAGGCTGCATTTTAAATTGTATTTTAACCCGTATTTTAATAAACTGGTTTTTGTTTGTTTGTTTGTTTGTCCCCCCCCCATTATGTTTTATTGTAATTTTATTGGTGTTAGCCACTGGGGAGGGCAGGGTATAAATAAATAAAAATATTATTATTATTATTATTAGATTGCGATCAACCTGTTTTAGTGGGTCTCCCCCATCTCACCTTACCTGGATAGGAGGGGGTTCAGCTTGGTGGCAGGGTGTGGAACTCCTCGATTCCACTCTGAGTCCAGATATCATCACTCCAGGAGAGGGAGGAAGGAACAGTCTGGTCCTTCCTACACCCAAATCAAAGAGTACTTTTCTCCTGTGTACAGACGACATTGGTAGCATGACCGCAGTTGCATTCTTCTTCCCTGTGTGCTTTTCTAAGCAGCAGCAGCCACTGGGGATAAAGCTTCTGACAGGCAGAGTGGGAAAAGCTGCTATGTCAGGTTGCTGTTAAACAAAGCAAAACAAAAGCACAAGAGCAGGGACAGAAAAAGAGGCCGCTCCATAGGTACAAATTCAGGGAGTGAATCCTAGGAACGAGCCCAGTTTCAGATTTACGTACAGTGGCTTCAAGGGGCCAGCTATAGGTGGACAGATGGCGGCAAGCTACTCAGATGGGGGCTCCTTCTCCTCACTTCCTCTGATACCACCTGTGCTATTAAGGGGGATCATAAGCAGGTAAATTAAAAGACCCAACAGATTTTGTATGGCATAAGCTTTTGCGGACTAGAATCCATTTCATCAGATGCATATAGTGTCATCCTTAGAAAGTGTATATTCACACAGGTGCAGAGGGGGAAATGGAAAGCTTATGATGGGGCTAAATGACTGAGAAATGCCAAAAGTACAGTGTGCAACGATTCAATTGCAGCTTAAAATGTATGCAAAACAAGCACCGTGACCATTCACAACAGCAGTAACCCGTGATGACAACACAAGCTTCCTAGCAGCGTTAAATCAGGGCCAGACTAAAAGTGACTTGCATTGTGTAGCTGGTCTTTGTTTTGCATGGGGTGGGGAGCAGCCAGAATAGCAGCTTCCTGCAGCTACACTGTGTGTGGCTGGTTTAGGCTGGGCTTTGAGTTGGGAAAGGACGGGTAATCAAAGTGAAGGAGATGAAGCCTTCTTCTCTTTGACTGATTGTTGAACCTTGGTCAATTAATAACGACCTTGAGTCCGCAAGCTCCAACTGTGGCACCAGCAGCCTATGGAAAGGTGAAAACCCAGACAGTGCCATCTCTCTGAGCCACCAAGTGTGATGCCTGAATCATTGTGATAAACAATAATGGCCATACTTGCTCGCTGAGCGCTAAATAGGAAACAGGACAGAAATTTACCCCTCGTCCATGCATAAGCCACTTTTCTCACCCCCAGAAACCTCCTGTGCAGCTGTGCCCTGAGCCTTTTCCTTTGTTTTGGAGATGGAAAAGCAAACCTGCCAGTCTTCCTTCTCTGATAGTTCTACTCCATTCCCTTGCGTACTTCGCTCAAGTTTATTTGTTATTTATTTATTTTTAAAACGCATACCCCAGCTTTCCCTATTGGATGTTCAAGGCAGCTAATACTAACAAAACAACATAACTGCCACACCATACAACAAAATAAGATCAGGGCCAGCTCAATATATTTTGCTGCCTGAGGCAAGATGGCACCTCCTGCAATTCCATGCACGGGAATGTGACTAGACTGGCTGTTGAATAGTACTTCAATTCTGGCTGCCTTCATCACACCTGGGGCTAGTTAAGGGGGTACAAGAATGACCACATGCTACACACAGCTCCAGCATCTCACTACTGCTCTCTGCCCCCCAACATCTACCGCTGAATGGGTGGAAGCCTCCCTTTACCCGACAATAACATTTTCTTGGCTCCCAGCTCAACTCTTTCCAGCTCAGTTTAGACCTTGCTCTACACCACTGATCCCCAATTAGCTAAGTACTGTTTTTCAAGAGCCAAGCCCTGGCCCCCCTACTTTTGAAAATTTTGATATCTCTATCATAGCTTTTGATATGTGAATGGTGCCACGCCCCCCTCCCTAGGTGGGTTACGCGGACCCTCTGGGATCTTCAGACCACCAATTGGGAACCCCTGCTCTACACTGCCATATGCATATGGTGCCAAGAAGCCAAAAAGCTGTGTCTTAGTTCTGCTTCTGTTTCTTTTCCGCCTCTCCCCAGACACCCCTTCAGCAGTGGGGTGAAGAGGCAGAAGATGGGGCCATCTACAGCATCATCCTTCACCGAGTGAGGGCAGAGCCCATCGCCAACAGATCGTGTCAGCTGGTATGTGGCAGCTTCCCTTATAGGGAATACCGGATCCCTCCTTCTGTGCTAAACTGGTTTTTATTATTGGACAGCAGAGGGGACACATGCACGGAAAGTCACGTCTCCCTCATGCGTGCAAGCATGACAAGGAGCTCTCCTCTCTTTCCCTTGCTCCACCTGGTACGCAGGCTGAGACCCTCCCTGCCTGCGGACTGTCTCGCCAGAGTGGTGCATGCTCTAGTTATCTCCCGCTTGGACTACTGCAATGCACACTACGTGGGGCTACCTTTGTAGGTAACCTGGAAACTACAATTAATCCAGAATGCGGCAGCAAGACTGGTGACTGGGAGTGGCCGCCGAGACCACATAACATCGGTCCTGAAAGACCTACCATTGACTCCCAGTACGTTTCTGAGCACAATTCAAAGTGTTGGTGCTGACCTTTAAAGCCCTAAACTGCCTCGGCCCAGTGTACCTGAAGGAGTGTCTCCACCGCCATTGTTCAGCCTGGATACTAAGGTCCAGCTCCGAGGGCCTTCTGGAGTTTCTTCACTGAGAGAAGTGAGGTCACAGGGAACCAGGCAGAGGGCCTTCTCAGTAGTGGAACGCCCTCCTGACAGATGTCAAGGAAATAAACAAATATCTGACTTTTAGAAGACATCTGAAGCCAGCCCTGTTTAGGGAAGTTTTTAATGTTTGATGTTTTATTGTGTTTTTAATGTTCTGTTGGGAGCTGCCCAGAGTGGCTAGGAAAAGCCAGCCAGATGGGTGGGGTATAAATAACAAATTATTATATTATTATTATTGCAAATTTGGGGATCCCAAGATTTGTGGTAACCTTTTCAGAAGTTATGGGAATCACTGGAATCTCCTGGATCAAAGGCAAGATAACTCCACAAGTATCAGATTTTCCATGTTAACTAATCTGATTTTTCACAAATAGGTTTTGTTTTTTTTAACTGTGCAGTTCCCACTGAAGGCAGGTTGCACCTCTACCCTGTGTATTAGACAACGATAAGCACCTCTTCAATAGGTGTCAGCTATGTGAGTTTCTCCCACCTCATCGTGCCTGTCCCTTTCCCAACAGGATGTCTCCAGCATGCCAGAGTGTCCCTTTGTACAGTACCGCACGTGCAAGAAGCGCCTGTTGCGGGCTGCTACGCTCCCCAGGCTGGTGGAGTGGCTGGTGTCTGCCAACGTGGAGGGTGACCTTGGCTACGTGCCCAGCTTCCTGGCCACCTACCGGGCCTTCGCCAACCCTGCGCAGGTGCTGGATCTGCTGCTGCCACAGGGACCGGACAAGTGAGGCACAGGGGTAGGAGGTGGGTGGTTTGGGCAGGAGGAAAATGCTGGACAAGGTGTGCTCCCGATCCAGGAGCCCGGAGAAGGGCTGGTTCTTGATTCTGGCAGTGCGGTGAATTGGGGCGGGAAAAGCAATTCTAACCTGGAGGGTATCAGAGTGATGCCCACCTTGCTTTTCGCCCTGTAGACATGTGTGTACAGGGCAAATTTATTTGTTTCATGCAATTAAGTGTTATTTGGAAAGGTGATATATAGACATGTGGGTGCAGTACGTATTATTGTCATTGAAATTCTACTCAATATTGATCCAGAGCAGAACTCCCAACGTATAGTTAACAGAGTGAAAACTTAAACACGTTGCAGGATTCCCAAAACATAGACCAGAGGCAATTAATATTTCATCCAGCAGAGCTTTACTGCTACTGAAGGCAGATGAGCATAATGGTCACAAATCCAACACATTCAGGATTGGCACTGTCCATAAGAAATCCAGTTGCAGCAGACTTGACTTACACTTACAATAACTTATATTAAGTCTTAATTTTAACACTAAGCATACTATGTACAGAACACCGCACCAGAAGGAAAGAGATAGAAAGAGAAAGTGAAACCCAGGCTCCTTCTGGCCTCACTATTATAGTCCGCGTGACCTTGACAGAAGAGATAACAGGACCAGTTTAAGCCAGCTGTACTCAGCTTCTCTGAAGGAATAACCCAAACATCAGGAACCTTCTGCTTGTTTCTTTCACACAGAGAAGCTTCCAGAAGCCTCTTGAATTAAGTAGAATAGGAAAGATCTCTACACATCAGATCAATACTTTCTGTATTAAACTGGCAGATATAGGAAGTTCTTTCCCCCCTTAAAAAATGTTTAGGGGTACTCTCAGTTTGACTCAAAAAACCCATCATTTTATAGTTCAATTTGGGAGAAATAAAGACAAATAAATGGAGAAAAGTACAAAGATTCACAAAATGTTTAGGGGTATGTGTACCCCTGCGTCCCCCCCAGAAAAAAGCACTGGATATAGGAAGAAAATACAGTGGAGCCTAGGTTGTCGAATGCAATCAGTTCTGGAAGACTGTTCAACTTCCAAAACACTTGACAACTGAGGCACAATGGGTGGTCAAAGAATTCAATTGAAAAAATAGAGAAACGTGCCTTAGAAGCTGTTTGACTTCCGAGGCGTGTTCGAAAACGGAAGCAATTACTTCTGGGTTTTTGGCGTTCAGGTTCCGAAACATTCAGCTTCTGAGATGCTCGAAATCCGAGGTTCTACTGTACAGGCTGTGACTGTTTTAGGTGCATCCAAAATGTGTGCAGCTGAGGACGCGGGCATTGTTCCGAACCCAGGAATGACCCCCAAAAAGGGGGTAGAAGGGGGCAGGGGTGGAACAGGACGTTTGGGGATTTTTGCCGTGGTGTTTCAAAAATATGTGATTTCACTCAATCGCAAGGTGCCTTGGAATGTGGCCTCTGCGTAAAGAGGGAGTTGTCTGTAATGAGATGCCAGATGGGCAGTGAAGCTTGGTGAAGTCCGAGCAGCATAATCTGGCAGGACGCTTAAGGAGGGGCGACCTCAGGAAGAAATCCTGGTGAAGGCAGCATGGAATCATCGACTGGTAGAGTTGGAAGGGACCCCTGGGGTCCTCTAGTCCAGCCCCCTGCAGTGCAGGAATCTCAACTCAAGCATCCAGGACGGATGGCTATCCAACCTCTGCTTAAGAACCCCAAAGGAAGGAGAGTAAACCTTCAGAGGGAGTCCCTTCTGCTGTTGAACAGCAGGCAGCTTATCTGGGACAGGAGGGGTTAGGGGCACCGGCGGGGGCGGGGGGAGAGAGACAGGGGTCAGCAACCTTTTTCAGCTGTGGGCCGGTCCACCGTCCCTCAGGCCATGTGGTGGGCCAGACTATGTTGTGTGGGGGGGATGAACGAATTCCTATGCCCCACAAATAACCCAGAGATGCCTTTTAAATAAAAGCATACATTAAAAACCCAAGCAGGCCCCTCAAATAACCCAGAGATACATTTTAAATGAAAGGACACATTCTACTCATGTAAAAACATGCTGATTCCTGGACCGTCCGCGCGCCGGATTGAGAAGGCAATTGGGCCGCATCCAGCCCCCAGGGCTTAGGTTGCCTACCCGTGGATAAGAGCCTAATCAGTTTGTGAGTATATGTACGTGTGTTGGTGTATGGTTGGGGCCTGACTCTGTTTCCCTTCCGGCTGCAGGGCAGTGCTGCACGTATTGGAACTCTGGCTGCAGCATCACCCGGGGGATTTCTGGGAGCCCCCCCAGCATCCCAACTTGCAGAGAACCTTGAGCTTCCTGCACCAGTCTGCTCGCGACTCCCCAGCGTGTGCTCTGGCAGAGGGGCTGTGGCAGTCCCACAAAGACGACAAGGAGGAGCGCAGGAGGGCAGGTGCTGCTGAGGCAGAAGGTAGGGATTTCTCCTGCCCTGGGGGCATGACACAGAGGTAGGAAGCGTGCTGTCCTATTTTTGAATGCTTCCTCACATAAAAAGCTCCCTGCATGTTGCAAACAAGAATTGTGTCTCTGATGTGCTAGTGTATCACATGCAGAGAGGCTATTTTTACATTGGGGAACATTCAAAAATACGCCTTTTTCCCGCAGCCTGAAGCAGAGAGGTTCAGAATTCCACCCCCCCCCCTTCTGCACAATACGTATGTTAACAATAAGTTTGGAGGCAGGCTAGTTATTCCTGGAGTAATCACAGAATAACAATGTGTTTTGTTTTTTTTAAAAGATATTTATTGTAGTTTTACAGAAAGAAAACATAGGTTTACAAAATAGAGAAAATTATAACAAAGATTAACAAACTAAAAAACACACATAGAAAAACAAAAGAATAAAAAAGATACAAAATACAAAAAGCAAATAGCTGAAAAAAAGAAATTTAAAAAGAAAATATATCCATTTTTCAATATCTTTGGGCTCATTTACTTGTTTCCTTGACCTCCTCACACCTCCCCTTTTTGTATTCCCATTTACAAAAACATTTCAGCAAATCCTTACCCTCTTTCATTTATCTTTACTCTATATCTTAGCTTATTATAACTGTATATTTTCATCGATTATCCATCCATATTTGCATGTTCTTATTAAACTTGTAGCCAATAACACTTATTTTCAATCCAACATCATTTTAACATTCATTAATTTTACAGTATTTCTGCAAGTAGTCTTTAAATTTCTTCCAATCTTCTTCCACCGACTCTTCTCCCTGGTCTCGAATTCTGCCAGTCATTTCTGCCAATTCCATATAGTCTATCACCTTCGTCTGCCATTCTTTCAGTGTGGGTAAATCTTGTGTCTTCCAATACTTTGCAATCAGTATTCTTGCTGCTGTTGTTGCATACATAAAAAAAGTTCTATCCTTCTTTGGCACCAATTGGCCGCACAGAATAACAATGTGTTGGCTTTTATTTTACCAGAAAGGCACAAGGGTTAGGCAGGGAAGGGGAGAGGGGAGTTTAGTATTTTTCTTGCTGGATTAACTCATTTGGAGACGCTATGGCTCTGCCATCATTCCCTGTTTTTCTAGATGAAGAAGGCAATTCTGGCTGCATGCTGAAGAAAATTGGTGAGAACAAGGGAAGGGTGAAGGCACCAGGCTGCAAATTTTGCCACAACTTTTGCCGCCAATGGAATTTTGCATCCCCAAGAGCAGGGGTCAGCAAACTTTTTCAGCAGGGGGCCGGTCCACTGTCCCTCAGACCTTGTGGGGGGCCAGACTATATTTTGGAGGGGGGAATGAACAAATTCCTATGCCCCACAAATAACCTAGAGATGCATTTTAAATAAAAGCACACATTCTACTCGTGTAGAAACATGCTGATTCCTGGACCATTCGCGGGCCAGATTTAGAAGGCAACTGGGCTGGATCTGGCCCCCGGGCCTTAGTTTGCCTACCCATGCCCAAGAGAGATGCTCCAAAGATTGTCAGTTTCCTTAGGATAGTTTGCCCCGTTGGGTTTTATATCTTCTGAGCAACAGAAGATGTTTTATTGTGTTTTCAATAATTTGTTGAGAGTCGCCCCGAGTTGCTGGGGCAACACAGTCAGATGAGTGGCATATAAATAAAATAATAATAATAGTTATTGCTGTTGTCATCGTCAGAATTTTCTGCATGTACTGGGTCATGCCTCCCCTTGATGATGTGGTATTTATAGACTTTTTCAGGAGGGGAGGGATGTTTCGTAAGCCACATCAGATTTTGCTGCAGGTTTTGAGATCTGTCAGTGATGCACTTTCTGGTACGGGTTTGATTGTAGAAGCAAGTCAAGAAGTCACCTGGCAAGGGGATGATCTCTTTAGGGGCCCCGAGGGGCCCCTAAGGCTCTCTTGCAATTCTGGGACTCAGCGCTCAGAGGATGCAAAGCTAGCACATGACCTGTGAGTTGTCCCTGAATTCTGCATAACGTTTTAGGAGATCCTGGGGGAATGCACATTTCTTGGACCAGTGAAAGGACCTCCATGCACACAAGTGTGTGGCCCTCTTCTTCCTTCATCAGGGTTGGGCTTGCGCACACTCACTCAGGTAGCCCTTCTCTCATTGCCCAGCAGGAGGTGAACCCACAGGGATGGGGCTGCCACAGGTGATCGGAGAAGCAGCTGGAACAGGTGACTGCGAGGATACACCAGCCCTCCTGTCCTTCTCCGTGGATGAAGTAGCTGAACAGCTGACCCTGATGGATGCAGTGAGTAAGAGGGGTCAGGGATGGCAAATAGCTTTGGGAAGAAGAAAACAGCATTAATGGGGGGAGTGGTGTGGCTCTCGGGCTCTTAAGTTTTATTTCCAGCCAGGGTGGCTTTGATTTAAATCAAATCAATTTAAATCACGATTTAAATCACTAGACATTAAGAGTTGATTTAAATCATTTTTTATGGAAAGACTCATTCTTGCTGGTACAGTCATACCTCGTTACGTCTGCTTCAAGTTACGTCCTGCGGCAACCCGGAAGTACCAGAAAGAGTTACTTCCAGGTTTTGCCACATGCGCAGAAGCGGCGAATCGCAACCTGTGCGTGCGCCGCTGCGGGTTGCGCTCTTTTCATGTTGCGAATGAGCCTCCGGAACGGATCTCGTTCGCAACCAGAGGTACCACTGTATAATCTTAATATTTACAATCGGATGAAGGTTTCATTTTTTGAATACAGTGGTGCCCCGCAAGACGAATGCCTCGCAAGACAAAAAACTCGCTAGACGAAAGGGTTTTCCGTTTTTTGAGTCATTCCGCAAGACGAATTTCCCTATGGGCTTGCGAGTTTCGTCTTGCGAGTTCTTGCGAGTTTGTTTCCTTTTTCTTAAAGCCGCTAAGCCGCTAATAGCCGCTAAGCCGTTAATAGCTGCTAAGCCGCTAATAGCCGTGCTTCGCAAGACGAAAAAACCGCAAGACGAAGAGACTCGCGGAACGGATTAATTTCGTCTTGCGAAGCACCACTGTAATAAATTTTCAGAATGGTTGTTACAGTTAGATAAAGAATTACTGATTTGGTTATACTATTAGAAATACATAGACAGATGCTTTTGAAATTATTGTGAGGTTTAGTAAGTTAACTGTTTATATTTGGACAACTTTTCTGCTGTATTTTATTGGAAGGAGAAATATAATCATTTCCTTAATAACAATTTGAACTATTTATTTAAATAAAACAATAACATTATAGCATAAGTATCCATGTTTGTTAACTGATGTGGTTAAACAATTAAAAACCTTAGACTGAGTTTTAGCATGCATGAAAAACTTAAAACAAATCTTTATTTCCTGATGAATAGCCTTTGGACTATAATGTAACTTAAATAGAAAACTATCTTTAGAAAGATTTTTCCTCCAGAAGCATTTTATTTTAAGAATCCAATTTAAATTAAGCTGTCTGTGGACAAACGCTGGCTCCCTCGGCCTGAAAGCGAGATGAACACCGCAACTCCATAGTTGCCTTTGGCTGGACTTATCACTGCAGATGGTGACAGCAGCCACGAAATTAAAAGACGCCTGCTTCTTGGGAGAAGGGCAATGACAGGCCTAGACAGCATCTTGAGAAGTAGAGACGTCACCTTGCCAACAAAGGTCCGTATAGTTAAAGCCATGGTTTTCCCAGTAGTGATGTATGGAAGTGAGAGCTGGACCATAAAGAAGGCTGATCGCCAAAGAATTGATGCTTTTGAATTATGGTGCTGGAGAAGACTCTTGAGAGTCCCATGGACTGCAAGAAGATCAAATGCATCCATTCTTAAGGAAATCAGCCCTGAGTGCTCACTGGAAGGACAAATCGTGAAGCTGAGGCTCCAGTACTTTGGCCACCTCATGAGAAGAGAAGACTCCCTGGAGAAGACACTGATGCTGGGAAAGATGGAGGGCACAAGGAGAAGGGGGCGACAGAGGACGAGATGGTTGAATAGTGTTTTCGAGGTTACCAGCATGAGTTTGACCAAACTGCGGGAAGTAGTGGAGGACTGAGGTGCCTGGCGTGCTCTGGTCCATGGGGTCACGAAGAGTCGGACACGACTAAACGACTAAACAACAACAACAACCATCCAGGGGTCCTTTACCTTTACCTTTTACCCTGTATATTGTTTATGGTTCAATGGCAGAGAGTTGATTTTGAATCTTGGAGACCTGATCCAAGATCCAAAGTCCTACCCTACTTCTGCAGTGGTTGCACTGAGTGGCATTGGGGTAGTCTTCTCTCTCATCCTCCCTCTCATTCTCCTTCCCCAGGAACTCTTCCGAGCAGTGCGGCCCTTCCACTGCCTGGGCTGCGTGTGGTCACAGCGAGACAAGAAGGAGAATCAGCACGTGGCTCCCAGCGTCCGAGCCACTGTGGCCCAGTTCAATGCAGTCACTAGCTGTGTCATTGCATCTGTACTGGGAGACCTGACTCTGCGATTTCCCCAGCGGGCACACCTGCTAGAGAAATGGATCGACATTGCCCAGGTAAGAGTTTCTGTGTCCAGTGAGCTAGCTGGCTTCGTTTTCTTTGTTTCCTTAGCCCTGCCACTACAGTGGTACCTTGGTTCCCAAGCTTAATCTGTTCTAGAAGTCCGTTCCAAATCCAAAGTGTTCCAAAACTAAGGTGCGCTTTCCCATAGAAAGTAATGCAAAATGGATTAATCCGTTCCAGACTTTCAAAAACAATCCCTAACACAGCAATTTAACATGAATTTTACAATCTAATGAGACCATTGATCCATAAAATGAAAGCAGTAAACAATGTACTGCAGTCACACAATCAATCAGTCAATCAATCAATCAATCAATCAATCAATCAATCAATCAGTAGCTGAACTGGGTTCCACACAGTCTCAAAAAGAAAAGCAAAGAGCTGCAAAAACTAAAACGCAAAATAAATAGCAAAAACAGACAGACCTCTGCGTAACACTCAAAATGGAAGTGTGGCACTCAAAATGAAGCACGTTCAGCTTCTGGAAAAAAAATCCCAAACCGGAACACTTACTTCCTGGTTTGCAGTGTTTGGGTTCCAAGTTGTTTGAGTACCAAGGCATTTGAGAACCAAGGTACCACTGTATTCCTGGCAGCACACAAACCAACATATGGGATTGTACCTCCAGCCAGCTCACTGGTTCTCCACAATTTGTGAATATTACAAAAATGGGTCTACATAATAGCTGCACAATCCAAAGGCACAGACCCCCTCAGCTTTTCATTGCAAAAGTAACAGACATGCTGACAATGTAAACTTAAGATGATATATCAAAATATAGCCAAAGCAAGTGGCATTAAAGTGAGGAACGCTAATTGATTTGAAGAATGTTTAATTATCATCTGCCTTCTAACTGATCTGTCAGTTTAATTGAATGTAAATGCATGTGTACCTTATCAAAACCTCAGTACTGTGGGGGTTGAGGGTTGAGATACTGACAAGTGCAAGATTATTTGACTCTCTTTTACTAAATAAAAACTGCCAGCTATTGTTAGAAGATAAGGGCTTCTTTCTTCTGTATTGTGGTAATAGCCTGCACAATGGCCGTGTTTTCTCTTGAGTCACAGTCCATATGTCAAAAATGGTTTGATTATCAACCAAATGAATCAAAAACTTGCAGCCATACTCAAAATGCAGCTCCTGTTTGCAGATAAATCTTTACTCAATCCAATCGCTGGCGTTAAATCCTATCCCTTTCTTACTGAAATATTTGTCCTTTCCCCACTCCCAATTCCCCAAATGGTACGCCTGCCCTCCAGCGATGTCGGGCCCTCCGGAATTTCTCCTCGCTGCATGCCATCCTCTCTGCCCTGCAGTCTAACTCCATCTACCGACTGAAGCGGACTTGGGCTGCTGTACACAGGTGAGGTTTTCGGTGGCGCCATTTTCCCCTAGAAGAAAAGCCCTGGTTAAAAGTGTGGCGCTTTTCCCCCTTTAACCATCTTTATGGAAAGCTCAAAGAGTACATCATTATATGTGCACTAAACTGGCGAGACGTAAATAAAAGAGAGAAAAGGAAAAAGAGAAACAAAACCCATGCAGAAGGGGAAATAAAGGCGGAGAACCCCAAAATTGTATATTTTACAAGGTCGTTACAGTGGTACCTCGGGTTAAGTACTTAATTTGTTCCATAGGTCCATTCTTAACCTGAAACTATTCTTAACCTGAAGCACCACTTTAGCTAATGGGGCCTCCTGCTGCCGCCGCACTATTTCTGTTCTCATCCAGAAGCAAAGTTCTTAACCTGAAGCACTATTTCTGGGTTAGCAGAGTCTGTAACCTGAAGCGTATGTAACCCGAGGTACCACTGTATTGTACTTCACCAGATCTTAACCTATTACAGTATTTGTAAGAATGGATTCCAGATATCATTGAATTTGTCCATGGCAAGTCTGCATTTATATGCAGTTTGTTCATATGTTGCGAGTTTGTATAAGTCTTTAATCCAGTCATAGAAGGGAGCCACATTTTTATTTTTCCAGTTCATCAGTATCAGTCTTTTTGTTGTGGTAAGGGCACAGAGAGTCCACTCATATTGTCCTTTTGTAAGGTTCCATGTGCTGGGTATATTATTCAAGAGGATATTTGGCTCTGTAAATGTAAGGTTGTTCCGTACAGTTCTGTTGATGGTTTCAGTTACCTTCTGCCCAAAATCTTTCAATATAGGACAATGAAAAAAACATGTTTTAGAGAAGCATTATCCCTGCTGCATCTTCAACAGTTAGATACCTTACATAGCCCTTTTTTAAAACAAACAAGGGACGCGGGTGGCGCTGTGGGTTAAACCACAGAGCCTAGGACTTGCCGATCAGAAGGTTGGCGGTTCGAATCCCCGCAACAGGGTGAGCCCCTGTTGCTCAGTCCCTGCTCCTGCCAATCTAGCAGTTCGAAAGCACGAAGTACAAGTAGATAAATAGGTACCGCTCCCGCGGGAAGGTAAACGGCGTTTCCGTGTGCTGCTCTGGTTCGCCAGAAGCGGCTTCGTCATGCTGGCCACATGACCCGGAAGCTGTACGCCGGCTCCCTCGGCCAGTAAAGCAAGATGAGCGTCACAGCCCCAGAGTCGGCCACGACTGGACCTAATGGTCAGGGGTCCCTTTACCTTTAATGGGGTCCACTTGCTTCTCTTTGGAGAAAAACCACAGGGCTCTGGCAGGTTCAAGGATCGTCCCCAAACAGGACTGGGGAAGAGTTTTGCCTGCGACCCCGGAGAGCTCCTGACAGTCTTTTTCTTTTCAAACAAGATTTTTACGAAAGCTTTTACATAATACAGCAGGATAAAAGAAACTACAGTGGTACCTTGGTTTGCATACGTCTTGGTTTGCACACATTTTGGATTACAAACACGTCAAATTTGGAAGTGCGTGTCCCGGTTTGCAACCTTAATTTTGGATTACAACCCATTTTTTGGGGGGGGGGATTACAAACAAATTTTTTGGGGAGGTCCCATTGGCGAAAGCGCACCTTGGGTTACAACCTGTTTTGGTTTACAAATAGACCTCAGGAAGAGATTATGGTTGTAAACCAAGGTACCAATGTAATCTAAATAAACAGAGAGAGATGAGCTCCTGCCAGTCTCGGTGGTTTCAGTTGACACAAGCCCATGCTTGGAAAATTAAGCAGAATGAAATGGCTGCCCAAGGCCAGCTGTTTTTCTGGAGTCCTACAAATTTTCTTCTCTCTCGGAGGACAGAGCTTTTTGTGCCACACAGCCTGCCCTGTGCTAGTTTGTAGGGGCAGATTTAGGGCAGCGTGACCGGTTCCCCCACTCAGGCCCCAAGCTAAGGGGGGGCACCGCAGGGCATCACAACTATGACATAGTACACATGCAAAACAGGAGACAAGAGGCTTGAGTGTCACATTTTAGCCTTGCACAGGGCGCCGCTGAAATTTGAAAGACCTGCTAGCTGCTGCCCTCTTTCCACCACGAAGGATGCTCTCTTGCAGCCACTGCTAGAAAAAGATTCAGCTTCCAGTCAAGCTTCTGGAGGTGTGTGTGTCTTTGCCCTTCGCCTCAGGCTGCAAAACAGCTTGGACTGGCTGTGGCCTCTTGCACTGACCCCTGTGCCAGGGAGCTGCATAAACTGAGCGTGACTTCTCTCCCAGGGACACCAGGGGCTCCTTCCGAAAGCTCTCGCAGATCTTCTCCGAAGACAACAATTACTTGAAGTGCCGAGAAATCTTGCTGCAGGTAGCAGAACTGCGTCGTTTGAGAGGAAGAGGAGAGCAACGTTGTGTGTGTGTTGTGTGTCTTTTTATGCAGGATAATGTGCTCAGAAGGATGTACACTGGGCGCTCGGGTTGCGAACGTGATCTGTGCAGGAGGCACGTTCGCAACCCGCAGCACCGCTTCTGCGCACACATGGGTTGCAATTCGGTGCTTCTGCGCATGCATAACCATCAAAACCCAGAAGTAACCCGTTCCGGTACTTCCAGGTTTCGGCGGGTCCATAACCCGAAAAAATGCAACCTGAGGTGTCTGTAACCCAAGGTATAACTGTAATGTATTGTCCAGTGTTGTCAGGATCAGGAGAGGGTTCAATAGCCCGGGGCATAGGAGCCAACTCCTTGGGGCCAAGGTCCCCCCCCCAAAGTATTTGTGATGTCTCTGAAGTGGGGTGGGGACTTGAGCAGGGGCGTATCAAAGGGGATGTGGTGGGTGCGGTCCACCCCGGGTGTCCCCACTGAGGGGGGTGACAAAATGGTGGGCAGCACTCACCATGGGGCCTGCAGCGCACCCGAGCTACGTGTCTCTCCTGGGAGTGATGCACTGGCTTGAGCGCCCGCAGGCTTCCTGCTTCCCCAAACAGTCCGCCCGTTGCCTTCTCCTCAGCTGTAGGGTGGCTGAGTGGAAGGAGGCAGGTAGACTCCTCAGAGGCCCTGTGGTGCCCCCATAGGCTGCTGGCCCCGCCCCCAGGCACAGGGCACGCGCGCCACCCCAGGCGCCCAATTGGCTTGCTCCACCGCTTGACTTGAGGATAGTTGCCATGTTGTGTTAAGTGTTACCCAGGGGCATTAAGTCACCATGTTTGGAGCAGGGGAAGTGTTATTCTCTGTTCAATGTAAGCTACAATTGCTTTGGGTGCAACCTTTTTTGGTTCCGGTGCTGCAGCAATGAGAGGCACCTGCTGAAATGCCCCAAAGCCTTTGAGTTCTTAGATTAGCCCCTGTTAGGGTCAGTTCTGTACAGTTGGTACATGGGACATCAGCTGAGTTTATCCTGCAGCCTGTCTCTCTGTCTCTCGCAGGAAGGAGGTATACAGAGCTCCAGTGATGGATGGAACAGCACACAACCCCCAGCTGGGGCATCTCCGAAGGTGAAGCATCAGACCAGGGTAGTGGTGAGAGCCAACCTGCCCCCTCCCCAGCCAGCTGTCCATCCACTCCGAGGGAAATATGTGGGAATGTTCAGGGTGGCAGGAGAGGATATATTGTTTATTGATATCCTTCCTAACTTGCACTAGCAAGTTCCTTTATGTAGCAGAGTTACATTCCCCCTTTTTTATATGCACAGCAGATAGCTGGTTGCAGGCTCGTGTGAGCCTCTCACTGTTACACAATTCAGTCTGTCTCAGACTGAATTGTATGTTCCTGGTAATTTCCCTTGAATCCCTCTTTAAAGAATAAAGACGCCACAATCTTATTCAAAGTCAATAAAAGAAGTTTTCTCAAACCAGTTCACAGTTGGATTCCTGAAGGCAGACTTAGTTACAAATATGTACATGTGGATCTACCCCATATGGGGGAATAATCCCAGTGCTTCTGCTAGCTGAGAGCTCGCAGAGCAGTCCTAGCTAGAAGCTGGTCAAATGAAGAAGGAAGTAAAAAAAAGGAAAAAAAAGAGGTGTGCTGTGTGACTAATCCTTTTGTTACCTGGACAGGTTAGGTCACGCCCACCTTCTGTCACATGCAAAAGGAAGGATGCTCCAGCCAGGAGGAACAGGAAGTTGCGACTGGCTGGACCAAACATTCCCTCGCATGTCTTCTCTAGCATTACAAGGAATGTTGTACTTGACTGCCTCTCATGGATCACATCCCACAAAATATACATAGAGGGGAAGTAAGAAATACAGTGGTACCTCAGGTTAAGTACTTAATTTGTTCCGGAGGTCTGTTCTTAACCTTAAACTGTTCTTAACCTGAAGCACCACTTTAGCTAACGGGGCCTCCTGCTGCCGCCGCACGATTTCTATTCTCATCCGGAAGCAAAGTTCTTAACCTGAAGCACTATTTCTGGGTTAGCAGAGTCTGTAACCTGAAGCGTATGTAACCTGAAGCGTATGTCGCCCGAGGTACCACTGTACATGTTTAATGTACCTCCCCCACACTTTAGATCCTGAAAACCAAACTCTCACCAAAGAATTACTTCCACCAGAGTGTCCACACTCTCCCTCTTGTGTGAAAATACTACTTAAGATTAGTCAAAGGTATGCTTTCCAATTGGATCGGGAACTGCCTGTTGAGATTCCTGCACTGTAGGACGGTGGTGCTCAGGATCCTTTCCAAATCTACAATTCCTTGATTTTACAGTTCTATGAAAGTCTGCACATGATATGTCATCAAATATGACTTTGAAGAAGTGTGATAGAAGAGAAAGGGAAACTTTCTACTTGAGAGAATCACCTTCTCTCACATATGCCACTTGACTGCTTTGTTCTGTACAACTGGCCGGGCTGCGAGTGGCACATAATATTCATTATGCACCCGCAAGAAATCCTTCTTTCAGTGTGGCAGCATCTACCCTTTGGAATTCCCTTTTCTCTTAGAAAACTAGAGTTGGAAGGGACCCTGAGGATCATCTATAGTCCAGCTCACTGCTATGCAGCTGTCCTAGATGGGAATCGAACCTGCAACCTTGGCATTATCAGCGGAGCTATATCATAATTCTGTATCCTGTACCATCTTTGTGTTTTGTTTCAGAGTGGGGATAATCCTAAAATTAGTACCTAAAAAGACCCCCCAAAAAAGAACGTGGTGCTCTTTTGATTTTTTTTTTAGCAAGAGTAGTTGTCAGTTAAAGGTTTAGCTACTGCTCCTAACATTCTCTCCTCCACAATTAGAAATATTTGAGATTTTTACATTATATCTGATAATGCACACATCTACCAATTTAGCAGTCTTCACAGAGATCTTGTTTCAGCTTTGTTTACACACACACACACACACGCACACACTCAGAGAGAGAGAGAGAGAGAGAGAGAGAGATATTTACACACATCCGCCTCTTTTGAAATCTCTTGCAGTGAACTTGCTAGTAGGAAGGGAAACCCAACAAACAGTGGAAACCACAGCATCCTTTCCCTTCATTCTGGACACCATTTGCATATTGGTCATATGCATAGCTGTCAACCGTCCCTTATTTGGCGGGAAAGTCCCTTATCCCAGCGCTGTGTCCCACTGCTGTCCCTTATTGATGATGTCCCTTAAATTTCCCGGGTTTCAAAGGAAGCAGCTCCTCTCCCTCCCTCCCTGCCGGCCAGGGAGGAGGGAGGCTCCAACTGTGTTGCTTGGCTGCATTGCTCACACAATAAGGAGTCTAGGAACGACTGGGGGGAGGAGCTTGCATGCCTTGTGCCGATCAAATCAGCCGTGTTGCCTGGGGAATCACCTTTGCTCAGCACTTCCCAACGGAGAGGTGACGGTGGTTTTCCTTGCTGCATCCCCTTTGCCGGGTTGCTGCGCTGTGAGAACCACCGCTTGAGGCTTCGTTTGGCTGCTGGCTGGGCTTTCTGCCTTTGGCTCGGAGGGGCTCAGAAGTTGAACATACCTGTGTCTTGAAAATCCCTTATTTTGGCTGCTGATGCCTTATTTTCGAGGCTGCTGGTCCCTTATTTTCAAATCTGTAAGTTGACAGCTATGGTCATATTTTGCTAAGGAAGTGTCACCAAATGTTTTAATTTCCCAAGGGAGGGTGGTGCACTGGGCAATCAAAGGGCTGAGTGCATGAGTCCCATTGTGCTTTGTTGCAGGCTCCCACCATCCCATATCTGGGCACCTTTTTAACGGACCTGATCATGCTGGACACAGCACTACCAGATTTTGTGGAGGTGAGCATCTTGGGGAAGAAGAAGTGGTACGAGAACATCCCTTGTCCTCTTCAGGGCAGCTGAGCATCCTCTGGCAAATGACTTCCTGTTGATCTCTGGCCATTTGGGTTGGGCAGGTGTTCCAGATCAACCCTTCAGGGTGGTTCGGGGGTCACGTAACCACTGGTGGAGGAAGGGGGTGCGGTGGGGGTGGCTCACGCCAGGTGTCATCCCTGAGGGGGGGTGACATCGCTGTGCCACCCCCCTGAGATGCTCATCACACACCCCTGCGGCACCTCCTTGGGACACTTGCCCTGCCCCTGCAGGCAGCTAGCTCCGCACCTGCAGGTGATTAGCTCCGCCCCTGCAGGTGGCTAGCCCCGCCCCCAGGTGCACAGCATCTGCACAAACCTCAGTTTGTTCATTGAATGAAGCCTTTGTCTCCTCCTTTGGGGTTTCCAGTACTTTTTTCTGGGGGTACTTAAGGGTAAGGGGGGAACACGACAGAGCCTAGGACTTGCCGATCAGAAGGTCGGCAGTTTGAATCCCCGCGAGGGGTGAGCTCCTGTTGCTCGGTCCCTGCTCCTGCCAACCTAGCAGTTCGAAAGCACGTCAAAGTGCAAGTAGATAAATAGGTACCACTCCGGTGGGAAGGTAATCGGCGTTTCCGTGCCTCTCTGGTTTGCCCGAAGCGGCTTAGTCATGCTGGCCACATGACCTGTGGCCAGCTGTACGCCGGCTCCCTCAGCCAATAAATCGGGATGAGCACCGCAACCCCAGAGTCGGTCACAACTGGACCTAATGGTCAGGGGTCCCTTTACCTTTAAGGGTAAGGGAGTACTGGCACTCCCCCCCCCATTAAAAGTGTGACACTTACTGTAATAACTTCATGGTGCGTACCAGCACCTTTTTTTCTATAAACAAAAAAGCACTCAGGCTTTTCAAATGCTGGCAGCCACATGGGGCAGAGGTTTTCAACCTTTTTGAGTCCACAGCTCCCTTGACCAACTCCGTTCTTTCTGCGGCACCCCTGTGGGGCTCAAGAGCCCAGTTATGCCACCCCTTGCCTGCAAAGCTGGCAGCCTCTCATGCTTTTTCAAACACCCTTCCTTGTGGAGTGTTCCCTAAGCCTCCTCTCCCCTCTCCTTGGGAGTCCTCAGGGCAGCTGCTGCTGCTGCTGCCCCTGGTCTCTGAGCTGTGCCTCCTGCCCCAAAGAGAAGCGCCTCTTCACCCTGCCCCATAGGGGCCTAGGAAGCACCTCCTGGCCAGTCCCAGTGGCACCATTCGCCTGGGGAGCTCGTAGCCAGGGCTGCTGCAACAAACAGCTGTGCAAGCCTTTGGGAGGCAGAGACACAAGAGGGCATCAGAGGAGGGAAGGAAAGAAGGACATAGTCCAGTGTTGACCACAGCACCCCTGACCATCATTCAAGGCATCCCAGGGCACCCCTGTTTGAAAACCACTGATGTAGGATGGTTCAAACAGAGCTGCAGCGCGGTTTGTGTCTCCTGGTGTTGCTCACAATCCCTGTCTTATTTTTCAATCCCACAGAACAACCTCATTAACTTTGAGAAGAGGCGCAAGGTAAATCCAAGGTGGAAAAGCTGGAGGGGGGTGGATGGGATTCTGCATCTCTTAGCTCATTGCCCAGAGCTGGGAATGGAGAGGAAAGATAGGGTGTGGAACTGGGAGGAAGAGCACTGCCTTTCAAACCACAGGAATACAAAATGTGGTTCCACCGCCCACCTCACTTCTATGTCTTTCCCCCCCAGGAAGCAGTGATCCTCTCCTGGATCTGCCAGCTGCAGGATTCATGTCAAGACTACCATCTTTGCCCAAACCCATCCTTCCGTCTTGCCTTTCACCAGCACCAGCAGCTCTCTGAGGAGCAGAGGTAGGGAAAGGTGTTGGGTTCTCTGCCAAGGAAGAGAATGGTTGATAGTGGGTGGCAGCCAACTAAATAAATGCACGAGCGGAATGACTACTGCTTGTGCAATAGGACTTTCCCTCTTGCTGATCTGCTCTGGAGGATTGAGTCCCGTTGCACAAGCGTAAGTTGTTCCAGTTGTGCAAAGTGCTACTTACTCCTGCAGTGAATACAACCTAGGCTCTTGTTGTTGAAAGGCTCTAGTTAGGAGCATTATCAATTGTACCGCTTCAGAGTTCAATTGGAGCGTCTTAAATTAAGGCCCAAAGTCCACATTACGAGTGTCCTTGGAGTTGACCGCTTTCTCCTTCATTAAATTAAAAGTAACTTTGCGCAACCCTTTGCTGGATCATGACCACTGTATGTGGAGATCAAGTTAATTGTTTCCTCCCTGGACCATTTCCCCCCTGCTAAAAATCATCCCACCAGTCCACTATTTGCTGTTTACTGTAAATAGCACCTTTTTGCAGAGGAGGTGTGTTTTTAATGGGGAAATGCTATGAGGAAGGAAGGGTTAACTCCCTCATCCCCGCACGCTGTGTTCCCAGTCCAGACCAGTGCCGCAGTGCAGCTGCTTCTACTGGAAAAGAAAGTTTCCAGTTCTGAGCAAGTTTGTAAAATCTTTCAATGAAGATATCTTTAATAATTTGCACTCAGTGCCTCCCTGTCTCCCACATTCCACACCAGAGCGAGAGCCAGGTATCAAGACGAACCATGAGTGAAGGCCTTTCCTCCCTGTCCCCGGGGGAAATTTGCAAGGATAATTACCCTCCTTGTTTTTTCTTCGCTAACAATCTCCCGCTGTCATGGGAGCTTTCTCCATTAAGGCAGACAGGAACCGGAAGCCTTATTTTCTAAACAAACAAACAAACAGACAAACATGTGTATTTAACATGGATTCCATTTGGTCCTATGGATTTCATTTGGGGAGCTAAATGATTAATTGACTGCATTTATATCTCACCATTTTCTCCAAGGAGCTCAAGGTGATGTACATGGCTCTCCCCTATCTCCTTTAATCCTCACAGCAACCCTGAGAGGTAGGTTAGGCAGAGAGGCAGTGACTGGTTAGCTTCATAGCCAAGTGGGGATTTGAACCCTGGTCTCCTACATCCTAGTCAGACACTCTAACCACTGCACCACACTGGCTCCTGGTATCTCCAAAATGCCATGGTGACAGAGTGGGTTAGGGAATGTCACCTATCTCCTATAGCAAAGCTGTTTCCCCACCGGGATAGCAACTCTTCACTTCTCAGATACCTAAAAGTGCACAGGGAATGTGCACCCGTCCTCCCTTCCCTAGGCGCCCAAGTTCAAGAGCAAGACTCTCCCATCTAAATCCATTCCCCCAAAGTTCACACTGTGGGCTACACAGCTAATTATTCGTTTATTGTTATTCATTTATTTATGCCCTGCCTTTTTCCCTGATGGGACTCAAGGCAGCTTACAGATAAAAATAAGAACCACCAAGAACAAAGAAAAAAAACACACACACACACACAAACACACACCCCACATACCAATAATTACAATTATAAACAGCATGGCAACAGTCCTTTCCTTAAAAGCACTCAGCTCCCAACAAAGGTCTTCATCACCTGACAGGAGGACGACAAGGAGGGAGCCAGTCTGGCTTCTCCAGGGAGGGAATTGTCTGGAGGCAGCCACCACCAAGAAGGCCCTCTCCCATGTCCTCACCAAGCTTGCCTGAGAGGGTGGCGGGACCGAGAGAAGCTAAAAGGATGGGAAGAGAGGAAGTCAACTTTTTTTCTGGCCTTCCTGCAGTCCGACCCCCAAACCAGGCTGCATAACTGTGAGGGTGGCACAAGGCAGATGCCAAGGGAAAGAGCCTAGCAGGTCCTTTTTGAGAAATTGCAGGGCAGCAGGGTGTCAGAAGCGACAGTTGAACAGAGACACACCAACAGAGAAGAATGGGAGGCCATGCTTGGGTGGATATAGCCCATGCTTCTGCTCTCCTCCCTCTGCAGCTACCGGATTTCCCGTGTGATTGAGCCACCAGCCGACTCCTGTCCCAACTCGCCGAAGCTGCATCGCAGCCTGACCAAGCGCTTCAGTTCGTAAGTCAGCCTTCGGGTTCCGTGAGGGGACACACTTCCTGTGGCTGCTCCTTGGGGACGGCCCATCCCGTTTCGCCACCCAAGGCAAGATGGGAAGGTGCTCCCTCCTGCCGAAGCCTCGCTTGCCAGGGTCACATGGGATTCTGCTGCCTGAGGCAGGTGCTTCAGTCCGCCTCATGGGTGGGCCGGCCCCGCTGCTCCTTCCCTGCCTCTTTCTCTTGTGTGCCCCCTGTTCCTCCCCTGCCATGCTTGGGACAAACTTCCCTTCTGTCCGATGACCTTCGGCCTCCTGGAGAACCCCATTCTGTGTTGTTGTTTTTTGAGGCAGAGGAAGTGAAGCTGGAGAGATTGGGCATTGCCTCCCACTAGGCCTGGTCTGCCTCCGAAAAATCGCCTGCCCTGGCATGATTACACTTTTGCAGTTGGGCCACCCTTGGGTTAAAAACCAGCCTGGCAGCCTTCTTGGCTGAGGTTCCTCATTCCTGATTTAGAAGAATGGCTGCTTTACCTAAGGGAAGGGATCACTCACCTCCCTCCCCACAGTAGCTATGTTTTTCTGACAAGGTTATTGCATCTTGAACAGCTGTCAGGCAAACAAATCTTTTCCTGGCCTACAGGTATACTACTGCATACCCTGGTTTTCTGGTGTCCTGGTTTTCAAGGGCAGTCCCATAATTATGAAAGCCATCCCGACTTCTGATTTGATCCTAGATTTCCTTTTTGTAAATCTTCCAAAGAATAAAATAAAATAGGGATTAAGGGGTTTTCTCGGGGCAGCAGATGGTGTGTGTCCTGTTGGTGTGGTGTTGATAGCACTTGCCCTTCTTCTCGTAGGAAATGCTTTGGGGGGGGAGGAGATGACTAAAAATGGGGGGTCAAGAATGGTCTGTTGTGGGCAGTGAGAACTGTCCCTATTGTCATCTGAGGAATGTTGGAGGGGTATGCTGTCGGAGAAAGCACCGCCTGTTCAATTCCCCTTTCTCTGCATAGCTACACATGACCTAGGAGTCCCAAGTAAAAGAAATAAAAGTTGGCAACCTGATTTTCCCAAGAGTTCAGAGCACTCAAGTTGAGAGGCAGTGCAATGGCCGAGGCCAGACCGTGAGTGTATGGCAATGGATAGATCTGCTGGTCCATGCAAGCCCAAGATTTATATTATTACTGAGTACAGTGTCATGTGTATTGGTGATGAAAGAGAGATTTGTTCTGTAGGAGGCATAAATGGTTCCTTCCTTCCATATTTATCCTTACAACAATCTTGCAAGGCAAACTATGCTTGGGTTGTCAGGAGTTCAGCCTACACTCGAGAAGGACCCTGGCAGAGACACATGCCCGACTGGCATGTTCCCTCCCTCCTCGATCGTTCAGGAGCTTCAAAAGCTTTCTTCAGCCCAAACATCACAGCGACCGATGCCAACAGACATTGACACACTTAGGGATCCGCAGAGTCTTCACAGTTTGCATAACAGCAACTCAGCATTTTGGCTAACCTACTTTATTTACATATAAACACACACAGAGCATTGCAACACCGCTCCCTCTTTCTCTAGCATCAGACAGCAAAGAGAAAAAGACAATAGTCCCCCTTCACGGAACACAGTAACACAAATATCCTGTCTCCGTCACTTCCCACTTTGTGGAGTCAAAACATAAACCGTCATGTGATAGACAACTATCTCATGACTGCAATCATGGAGTGGGAATTCTAACATGGGTATGCTGACTGGCCCAAGGTCACAAAATGAATATCATGGCGAAGTAGGAATATGACCCTGGAGCTCTTGTCTGATACACAACTAACCACTACCTGACAATGATACTCCCACACCTGAGTCACTGCCTCTGCTCTTCCTTTGCAGACTTCTCCTGGGCTCAGAAGCCTCTGCTGCTTCTCCAAGCCCTGAAAAGCCCGGAATCTCACCGCTGGGCTCCTGCAGCAGCCTTTCCTCTGAAGATGCATCCAGCACCCCTTGTTCACCAACTTGGGGACTCCCCACTAGCAAGGTAGCTTATTTTTCTTTGTAAAACTATTTCTGTCCCATTCTCTTGGTCCCTGAAACAACTCACAATCTTAGAAGACCGAGACATCTAACAAGGGCATAACATAAATGCAGAAGTCTGTATGTTGCTATAAAACAGAAGGGGAGAAAATAAACAAGATAAACCAAATGCCTGTCAAAATAAAACAGCCATGACAGAGCATCTCGAAAGGGAGCAGCAGAGTCTCTTTGGGTGCACAGCCTGGGTGCCCACACCCAAAAGGCCTGCACTTGCGTCACTACCAGTTGCACCCGGGATGGTGGTGAAATATGGAGCAGAGCAAGGGGCAAGCAGCAGAAGGCAAATTCTCTTGGGGATTCGTAATGCAGTTGCCACAGAGAGTGCAAAGAGACAGCATCGCTGAAGGAGTGTCTCCACCCCCATCATTCTGTCCGGACACTGAGGTCCAGCGCCGAGGGCCTTCTGGCGGTTCCCTCGCTGCGAGAAGCCAAGTTACAGGGAGCCAGGCAGAGGGTCTTCTCAGTAGTGGCACCTGTGGGATGCCCTCCCACCAGATGTCAAAGAGAAAAACAACCACCAGACTTTTAGAAGACATCTGAAGGCAGCCCTGTTTAGGGAAGCTTTTAATGTTTAACCCATTGTATTCTAATATTTTGTTGGAAGCCGCCCAGTGTGGCTGGGGGCGGGGGCGGCCAGATGAGTGGGGTAATAATAATAATAATAATAATAATAATAATAATAATAATAATTGGTGTGGTAGGCTGATTTCATTTCTAGCCAAAAATGAGCCTATCAAAGCAACACATGTGAAAGGAATAGATATTAAAAGCTATCGTTATAATACAAGAACGGTGTACAGTGGTACCTCGTGTTACGGATGGGATCCGTTCCGGAGGCCTGTCTGTAACGTGGAAAGCCCACAACTCGAAGCACCGTGTCTGCGCAGACACGTGGCACGATTTGGCGCTTCTACGCAGGCGTGAGCAGCGAAAACCGGAAGTAACCCATTCCAGTACTTCCGGGTTGCCACAGGACACAAGATGAAAACACGCAACCTGAAGTGGACGCAACATGAGGTATGACTGTAATAATTTACCAGTCATTTATTACACCTGTGGCTGGAAAAAAATGGTATGATTGACCAATAAAGACAAGATTTAGGGAAGTCTCCGTCCCACTCTCCCACCCCCACCCCCACTTCAGCAATATAAAATGTTGGGATGCATCCTGGTGCAAGTTCATGCCACCCAATTTTTGAGATCCAAAACTAGGATGTGCATCTTCTGGGATGTGCTCCCAGGCAAGTCACGTGACCCATGCCTCATTCTCGCTTGGATAAAGTGTTGTGGGGTGGGGTTGGGGGGGAGTGAGAGCGCAGCACCCAAAATGGCCTCTGTGCTCTCGTGCAAAAGATGGGATATCCAGGGCACTTGGTAGGTATTCAAGCTTGCATCAGATGCCCTTGATGGAGCCACTGATTAGTACAGCACTTCACTTCCGGGACTGGTTCTGGGGTGTTTAGACTCTAAACAGACATAGAGAGATTCTCATCTCTGACAGCTGGGAAGAGCAGATCTCTAGATATATGTATTTTGTAAATAAATACCTTTTCAATGTGTCAGCGGGGGAGGGGGAGGATTTTGGTATGTTTTGTGTGTTCATTTTGTATTTTTATGCTGTGAACTGCCCTATGGATCTTAGGATGAAGGGCAATATACAATTTTAATAGATAGATAAATAGATAGATAGGGAACCCAGAAGACAGCACACCTCCCATGACATCCTGTTTCCTCCACACACTACTGCCTCTGTTCCCCTCAGTAGGGTCCCCTATCACCCCCACTCGTCTCCTCCTCCTCTGGGGAGTAGCAAGAATATTTATTTTATTTTATTTTTATTTCAGGATTTTTACATACATTATATTATCTCCTTCCAATTTTTAAATTTCCCGTACAATTTTTCCTTCCCCTCCCTTCCCGACCCACCCAAATCCATTGGAAGGGTTCAAACAATTATCCTCAGCCATAGGTATAGCATCTTTAGTTTCCACCGAATGTCTTTTGCTCCAATAGTTTCTGTCCATTGAAGATAGGAGTAGCAGGAATCATTCTGTGGGCTGTGCCTTCCAAAGGCTGCTTGGAGTGTTCTGAGGTCTCCTTCTATTCTTGAGTCTTCCCCTCTTGTTTATTGGAGCTTATTTTGATATTGTTATATAATAATAATAATAATTTATTATTTATACCCCGCCCATTTGGCTGGGCTTCCCCAGCCACTCTGGGCAGCTTCCCCCCAAAAAATAATATTAAAATACATCAAACATTAAAAGCTTCCCTAAACAGGGCTGCCTTCAGATGTCTTCTAAAAGTCTGGTAATTGTTGTTCTCTTTGACATCTGGTGGGAGGGTGTTCCACAGGGAGGGCGCCACTACCGAGAAGGCCCTCTGCGTGGCTCCCTGTAACCTCACTTCTCGCAGGGAGGGAACCGCCAGAAGACCCTCGGTGCTGGACCTCAGTGTCCGCATAAAACGATGTTGGATAGGCCGGCCCTGAAGACCAGTCATGCTTTCACCTTGGGTCACCAAAAGTTGTTGAACTACAACTCCCATCATCCCTAGCTCCAGAGCTAGAGGTCGGGGTTGATGGGAGCTGTTATCCAATGACATCTGGTAACCCACAGAGCTTTAATTTAGCACCGATGCGCATATCAGCAAGTGAAGTGGCGGAAACTTCTGAGCGAGATGTTTTGATGGTGTTGGTGGCCAGAGAGGTAATGGAAATGTGGGGCGGAAGGTGAGCCACAACTCACGGATTCATCTCCTGGTCCCCTTTTTGGTTGTCTTCTCCTGACCAGAATCTGTCTGTACCTCAGCTAAGGCCCTGCCTTCTGCTGGAGCAGCCCCCGCCATCTCCCATCTCCAAGCAACGAGGGACAGAGTCGCGCATCATCCGTGTCAGCATGGATGATGTGCATGGCAACGGCAACCTTTATCGCAGCATTGTGGTGAGTTGACAAAGGACGTGAGCTGTCAGGAACATCTGGACATGACTGGATGGTGTGCATCATGTCTGCCTGTGGGGGTGAAGATTTCCGGGCAGGGGAGGAGCGTATAGAGGCCCTGCACAGTGAGGGCCACAGCACTCCTTCAGCAACATGGGCAAAGTCCCAGAGGAGCAGGTAGCGACACAATGGGGGGGCAGGGCAACGGTCAGATCCACCACCTGAGGCAAACAGTGTCATAGTCCTGTGCTGCCAGCCATGGCAGAGCTCAGTGGAGGGAGAAGCCAGCCAACCAATTGAGTCTTGGTGGGGGAGTACTTGCCTGGAGGCAGAGTCCAAGGTTAATAATCATCATCATCATCATCATCATAATCATCATCATCATCATAATCTATTTATACCCCGCCCATCTGGCTGGGTTTCCCCAGCCACTCTGGGCGGCTTCCAACAAAATATTAAAATATAATAGTCTGTCAAACATTAAAAGCTTCCCTAAACAGGGCTGCCTTCAGATGTCTTCTAAAAGTCTGGTAGTTGTTTTTCTCTTTGACATCTGGTGGGAGGGCGTTCCACAGGGCGGGGGTCACTACCGAGAAGTTCAGTCTAGTCCTAAGGTCAAGAGTGAAGTATAGGTGGGTTCCCACATGGCAGGACACAGTGATAACAGCAAGAACCTTTATTGAACTACATCATTGGGAAACAGGGGCAAAGCAACTACTTATATACATCGCTGAAAGCCTGGGCCACTCCCACTCCCAACATGATTGGCTGTCTAAACTTCCAAGCTGCGAATCACGACTCATAGTTCAAGGGCCAATGGCAGAGGCCCAAATCCTGAAATGTTCTATGATTGGACATCATGTATTGAATCAGAACACAGGAGATCAGAATCCAGACTCAAGCTCAGGCAAACACAGAATACATAACAAGGAGTATCTCAGTTCACGTAGACAGACGGTCCGGGGGTCAAGAAAGCCGAGGTCACAAGAAGCAGCAAGATCTGGCCAGGAACGACAAATGCTGTTTCCAGCAACTGCCTGAGGCTGGAAACCGTGCTTAAGAAAGCTGGAGCCAAGCTGGTTTTCATCAGGAGCAAGAAGGCTGATCAGCAGCAGATGGAGTCACTTTGCCTTCTGCTCCTTCAGGCTGCTGCTCAGCAGGTGAAGCCAACTCCTGGCCCATGACAAATGGCTTCATCCCACCTCATGCAAGTTGGAGTCCAACAAACGCCGAGAAAGCCACACATACCCCCCCCACCCTTGGTTTAGACACGTTTTTGATTTGGCTAGCATTAGGTAAGGTAAAGGTAAAGGGGACCCCTGACTGTTAGGTCCAGTCGTGGCTGACTCTGGGGTTGTGGCGCTCATCTCGCTTTATTGGCTGAGGGAGCCGGCGTACAGCTTCCGGGTCATGTGGCCAGCATGACTAAGCCGCTTCTGACGAACCAGAGCAGCGCATGGAAACGCCGTTTACCTTCCCGCCGGAGCGGTACCTATTTATCTACTTGCACTTTGACGTGCTTTCGAACTGCTAGGTTGGCAGGAGCAGGGACTGAACAACGAGAGCTCACCCCATCTCAGGGATTCGAACCGCCGACCTTCTGATCGGCAAGCCCTAGGCTCTGTGGTTGAAGGCGTTTTCACTACTTTTGTTAATATTCTCCCCTGCCCATCTCTGGACACCTTCAGTGTTGTGTTGCCACATTGCTGGGCCACCCCTGTGCCCTCTTCTGTGGCTCATAAGCGGATGACTTTCCCCCGCAGATCACCAGCCAGGATAAGACCACGGCTGTAGTTCAGCGCGCATTGCAGAAGCACAACTTGGAAGGGCACTCGCTGCACAACTACCGGCTCCTGCAGCTGTTGGGAGATGGCCAAGGTGAGGAGAGGGATAATAATAATAATAATAATAATATTATAATAATTTATTATTTATACCCTGCCCATCTGGCTGGACTTCCCCAGCCACTCTGGGCGGCTTCCAAAAAAATATTAAAATACTGTAATACATCAAACATTAAAAACTTCCTAAACAGGGCTGCCTTCAGATGTCTTCTAAAAGTCTGGTAGTTGTTGTTCTCTTTGACATCTGGTGGGAGGGTGTTCCACAGGGTGGGCGCCACTACCAAGAAGGCCCTCTGCCTGGTTCCCTGTAACTTGGCTTCTCGCAGTGAGGGAACTGCGGTGCTGGACCTCAGTGTCTGGGCAGAATGATGGGGGTGGAGATGCTCCTTCAGATATGCTGGACCGAGGCCATTTAGGGCTTTCAAGGTCAGCACCAACACTTTGAATTGTGCTCGGAAACGTACTGGGAGCCAATGTAGGTCTTTCAAGACCAGTGTTATATGGTCTCGACGGCCGCTCCCAGTCACCAGTCTAGCTGCCGCATTCTGGATTAGTTGTAGTTTCCAGGTCACAGGACCCGGATGGAGGGGGAAACATTGTTGGTATCACTCATGTTCTCTTTCTCTCTCTCTCTTTATCCTTCAAGAGCTACTGATCCCCGATGGCGCCAATGCCTTCTACGCTATGAACCCCGCTGGCCCCCACGACTTCCTCCTCTGCCCCAAGGAAGGCGCCCCCAACTCCATTGGGACCATTCAGCCTGGTAGCAAAACCACGCTCTACGGCACACACAAGGACCGTGGCACTGGAGCTTCATCGTCTTGCAGTTCTCCACACCTAGGTCCTCCCAGCCTGTCCCCACATGGCTCACCATCTCCACAGCTCTGGCTAGCTTCGTGTCTCCTGGCACCCCCATTTCCATCTCCTTCCTCCAGGCAGCCACCAAATGACCCTCCAAGCTCTCCTCCTTCCCCCCTGCCTCTTTCTCGCCACTCACCCATCGGTCCAGCTCCATCCCATGTTGCTCTGCAGAGGCCAAAGACTCCTTCTTCTTCATGCCAGTTGCCCCTTTGCTATTCCTCGGGGGCATCCCTTTGGTCAGGGTCCCTCAGTCACTGTGACGTCCCTCGCCTTTCAGCTTCCCAAACTCTAGAAGCTCTGAGCAGTCCTGACCTAGAACTGGGCACTAAGGGCCACAGCTAATCTCTCCGAATAGAGACCCTCACCTCCATGAGACCACACACAAATGGCCAGGAAAACTGAGTGCCCCACAAGGGAGCGATGATGTTAATGGATTGGCCACTGTGAGGTTCCGTAGCTGTGTCCTCCTCAGCCTCCCCTCAGCAATCCTAGAATCCTAGAGCCAAGAAAGATGGGCTTACAGGCCATTCAGTACAAAACACAGCTGATGCAAACCAGGTATGCAGAGCCTTGCCAGCGGAGATCAGAGGTGCCACAGGGTGCCAATGTCCTGGTGTTTTGTTTCTTTTCTTTTTTTCTTTTTGATTTATGACATTTGCCACCAGTGACTTTATTTTTTTAATATAATTTTTTTATTTGATTTTATTAAAAGTATAAACATGTAACAGAAAACAATTCCGAATCCAAATATTGAGATTACTCTGAATCTGCTGACTTCCCCCCATCCCTTCCATGGGTCCTAGTAATCATATTTACAACTGCAAATCAGTACTTATCCAAATTTTTCATCCTTCTAAATTATCCATACTTTCCATTACTTTACAAGTGTGGTTAAAATCCTGCTAATGTTTTAACCTGCTTACAGTGGTCTCGTAAATAAATTACGAACTTTTCCCATTCTTCCTTAAAGTTCTTGTCTTCTTGATTGCTGAGCTTCCCAGTTAATTTCGCCATTTTGGCATAGTCCATCAACTTGGTTTGCCATTCTTCTCTCGTCGGGGTTATCTCTTCCTTCCATCTCTGGGCTAGTAGCATCCTTGTGGCTGTTGTTGCATACATAAACTATCTTTTCTAGTCCTTTGGTGCCTCAGTACCTATAATTCCTAATGAAAAAACTTCTGGTTTTTTTAGCAAAAGTTATTTTAAACATTTTTTTTCCATTTCATTATATATGATCTCCCAGAAATTTTTGTTACTTTAGGTGTCCACCACATACAATAAAGGGAACCTTCTTTTTCTTTACATTTCCAGCAAATATTTGAGCTTGTTCTATACATTTTTGCTAACTTGACAGGCATCAAATACCACCGATACATCATTTTCATCATTTTCATGTAGTTTTCTTTCAGTGAACACCAGGGTCCTGGTGTTTCAAGGGAGTGAGACCAAGGGCCTGTGAGGCAACTGCTTTGGGCAGCAGATCTGGCCTCCGAGGAAGGCATTGTCTACTGCTGCAGCTTGCTCCTTGGAGGCTGGACCTTTTGCCTTCTCAGCAGCCTCCCTACCTGCCATGCCACCGCCATAGCAGCCTCTCAGCGAATAGGAGGGGCTGCTGGTCTCCTCCCATCACTAGGGAGAAAATGCCAGGCGATGCCCACTAAGGTCTCCTGGGCTCTGCACCCACCTGGTGCGATTATGAGCTGGCCCCCTTCCCCACCCCAACCCCACGGTCTTTGATTCCCAGTTCAACCACCAAGCAAGGTTGAGTTGATTCCCCCTCTTGTTCCTGATGTAGATCTTCACTCACCTCTTTGTTCCAATGTAAATCTCAAAAAAAAAAACAAAACCCCACTTATTCCTGATGTAAATTTTCCCTCCCCCTTCTTCCCTGGCAGGGAGGGGAAAGCATTCTGTGGCTTGCCTCAGGTTCCAAAATGTCTTGGGCCAGCCCTGAGTGAGACAAGCCATATTTTGCAGAGGAATGCAACACCTCACTCCCTTATTCTCCCTCCAGAATTAAACACTGTAGTCGAGGGCAGAGGTGGGTGGGTGGCAAGGAGGCCTAGTGGTAGCTACTGTCTGACAGTGAGCTTGTAGCTGGAAGTATGTGTTGGACTTCCAGACCTGTAATAGAAGAAGAAGAAGAAGAAGAAGAAGAAGAAGAAGAAGAAGAAGAAGAAGAAGAAGAAGAAAGAAGAAGGAGGAGGAGGAGGAGGAGGAGGAGGGGAGGAGGAGTAGGTTGGATTTGATATCCTGCTTTATCACTACCCAAAGGAGTCTCAAAGTGGCTAACATTCTCCTTTCCCTTCCTCCCCCACAACAAACACTCAGTGAGGTGAGTGGGGCTGAGAGACTTCAAAGAAGTGTGACTAGCCCAAGGTCACCCAGCAGCTGCATGTGGAGGAGCGGAGACGCGAACCCGGTTGACCAGATTACGAGTCCACCGCTCTTAACCACTACACCACACTAATAGGTGACTTTGTGTGAGACTCACCCTTCAATAAAATAATTTAGTGAAATGCAAACTTTCAGGATTTCTCCAACTCTATCTGTGTTGCAGAAATTGTGCACTTTGCCCTGGCAGAGAGAAATAATAATAATAATTTTTTATTTGTACCCCGCCCTCCCTGGCTGGTGGAACCAGGAACTAGAAGAGTAACACAAAAGGTGCGAAAGCAAAACCTGACCGAGAACTCTGCTCTTTTAGGTTAGGGAACCATACCTAGAATGGCTGCTCTCGCTTTCTGCACTTTGATAGCAGCCATCAATCAAATTTACAGTGGTACCTTGGGTTACAAACACTTGAGGTTGCAGACGCTTCAGGTTACAGACTCTGCTAACCTGGAAGTATTACTTCGGGTTAAGAACTTCAGGATGAGAACAGAAATCGCGCGGTGGCACAGCAGCAGCGGGAGGCCCCACTAGCTAAAGTGGTACCTCAGGTTAAGAACAGTTTCAAGTTAAGAATGGACCTCCGGAACGAATTAAGTTCTTAACCAGAGGTACCACTGTATTATCAAAGCTATCAGTCCTTACAACAGCACCATTCAACCCAATGGAACATATTTCGTCTCTTCCTCCACGGGACTGACTTCCAAATTGTAGTGTTAAACTTTGGTGGCAAGTGATTTTAGACTGGGTGTCAGGGTGCTGTCAGCGGCTACCGGCTGGTTGCCCAGGAAATCATAAAGATGAGGAAGAGTTTCTTACCATCCTTTTTTATTTCAGCCTTTACAGAGAGGGGCTATAGAACCCAGCCTCTTGAATCTCCACCCCTCCGTCTCTCCCACTTCCTCATGCATCACTTCTGCAGGTGCTGCTACATGCCCTCTGTCTTTGAGCTCTTTGCTCTCCTACTTTTAAGGCTTGCCGGGTTCTGGGAGATGGCGTGTCTGGAATCCTTCCAATGACAACGTGTTAGTCAACTGCTGCTGTCGCTCTGCCTGCTCCTCCTCTCCCATTATTTCCCAACTTTCCCCCTCATCTGCCGCTGAGTTGTGACCTCCCTCAAACCACTGTTGTAAATCTATACTGTCTTCCTCTTCCTCTTCCCTGGAAGGGTCAGGAATGGGGAGGCAGTCTCCACTATTCTGCCTCTGCCTAGCCCCGGACGCTGGGATTTGCAAAGCAGTCAAGGAAGACTTACTGTATTGGCCTGAATATAAGCCACACCCACAAATAAGCTGCACCTTTAAAATCTGGGGGGGGGGGAGAGAGAAAAATACAATATCCAAATATAAGTCGCTCCCTTAAAATTGGGTTACAGGCTGAAAATCGCTGCGCTTGGCAGAATTGTAACTCCGAGCCAATTTAAGCCTTTGATATTGCAAGCCCACAAAAGTTACCGTACAATCACTAAAATCAAAAATCGCTTTTCCGTCGCTACAATTCCGCAGGCACTCACACCCATAAATGGCAAATGAACAGTCTCAAGCTCACAAATCAGCAATAAAACATATTTTTTTTGTTCCATTTTACCGTATGTCTGTTTCAGCAGCGATATCGTAAAAACCCATTTTTGTAAGGTCCCGAATTTAAGCCGCACTTTAACTTTTCACAGTCAGAATTTGGAAAAAAAAGTGTGGCTTATATTCGGGCCAATACAGTAAGTGCTTTGTTCAGCCTTAGCAATATCAATGGGCTATTCAACTATGACTGCCATACGTTCAGGTTTCCCTGTTACAGTTTTGAGTTAATGAGCATATAATCAATCCCTGGTCCTAAAATCCCTAGCTATGGTTTAATATAATTAACTATAAATTTCTAGCCAATCATTGGGTAACTGTAGGTAGGCAGTGAGATATGTTAAAGGATAGGAAGCAAGGAGGACAAGAATGAATAAATAGACAGTTTTCACAGTGGAGGAAAGTGAGTTGTGAGTTATTATAACCATTGATATTATTCATAAATATTCTTGTAAGCAGTTGGGAGCCAAATTTGCAATGATACCAAAATAGTCAAGTTTTGATTAATTGATTAATTAAATTATTCATAACTCGGTCTTCATTGTTCACACAATCCCAGAAGAAGGAACAGCACCAGAATACAATACAATATTAAATATTTCATTTAAGCACAACTGAATGTAAAACCAGACTGTATACTAACAACATAACTACATCAGCCAAGTGAGGGGCACCGACTTAGCCCAAATCTTGCGTTTACCAGGTGGCGAAAACTCGAGGAGACGGCAAAGAGCTTTTGCCGGTACTAGGCAACAAAACAGCAAATCGATTTGCGAAATCGATTTGTGAAATAAACAAGGCGATGCCCGGTGGGGCAACTTACGTTGTTGCATTTATTTATTTTCTAGCTTTGCATATACATGGGGTTTATGTATGACCAACAATGTAGGAGTGCAATACTAATCAAGTCAACACATAAATGAAAACATCAATTCAGTTTGTGGTGGTGGTGAATAGGGCTAAGAATTAGAATGAAATAAAAAAAATATGGGAGGGGAGTGTTAAGGGAAGTGGAGGCGGAAGAATCAGCCGGTACTGCCATGCCTTTGTATGGTGTTGCTGCATTTAGAATATTTTGTGGGCAGTTTTTTGGCCACCTCTTCTCAAGAAAGGTGCTGTAGGTACAGAAAAGGGAGCAGAAGAGCATGAGCAAAATGATCAAGCGATCAGACCACTGGGGAATCTCTAAATTGTTCAAGGGCTTTTGATTTGGGGGGTGAGGACTAGGGACCGCGATAGAAGTTTATAAAATATAAAATTACTCATGATGTTGAGAAAGCGGATGGAGGCATTGGGCAGACCAGAGAGTAGACTAGAAACAGATTTGACCCAGTCTAGCAGAGCTCTGATCTCACTAGACCTATAATATATCACATATACTTTGGAGAAAATGGAATAGCGTTTTTTGTTGTTGTTTTGGCTTTTAAAAAACTAAATTGGGTCAGGGGGGAAAGTTCTTTTCGGGAGTGGAAGCAGCAGCAGCTATATAACAGCCGAATGAGGAGGGGAATCAGATAAGAGGGTATGGCTTGAATAACTTCGTGAGGATGTTTTCAAAAAGTACAGAGTGGCTGGGATAAACAACCGCTGTGCAGGAGAGCACAGAGCTGCTAGAGCCTTATCACTGCCAAACACTTTTTGTTTGTGCCTACTTTTCTCCCCCAGCCCCACACCTCCCAAATCTAGCACTGGCACAGAGGCCGCTTGCTCTAGCGACCTGCTCTGGGGTTTCGCTCACGCACAGGCCCAGGGAGTGGTCTTTGGAAAGTCTCTGGAAACGTGAGACAAGCCCATGTGCTTTGCCGTTCCCTCTTTTCTACTCCCTGAAAACGTCGCCATGCGTTTGTAGAATGCAGTGGCACAAACCTGGGGTTGCAAGCAGGCAGAGTGACTGGGCTTTTCTGAAATAACAGGAAGAGTAGCTGTGTGAGCAGCCAGGAACCCCCTCTCTGCTCCCCGTCCCCCCATTCCTGCCATTTTTGGTTAAAAGATCCCTGCATTGCAGGAGAATGGACAAGATGAATCTTGTGATCGCTTACAGCTCTGTGATTCTATGATTGCAGGAGAGCTCCTTCACCTCTGGTTGCTGAGCTTTCACTTCTCTAATAATAATAATAGTAATAGTAATATTAATAATAGTAATAATTATATTTATATCCCAATCTCCCCAGCTGAAGCCGGGCTTAGAGCAGCTAACAACAGTAAAATAACACAGTTTACATAAAATCACAATCAATTACAGTGGTACCTCAGGTTAAGTACTTAATTTGTTCCGGAGGTCCATACTTAACCTGAAACTGTTCTTTACCTGAGGCACCACTTCAGCTAATGGGGCCGCCTGCTGCCGCCGCGCCGCCACCACACAATTTCTGTTCTCATCCTGAAGCAAAGTTCTTAACCTGAAGCACTATTTCTGGGTTAGTGGAGTCTGTAACCTGAAGCGTATGTAACCTGAAGTGTCTGTAACCTGAGGTACCACTGTAATTGAAATACATTCTAAAAGCAATTCATTCTAATGACCCACTTCCCTGTGTTTTTCTTTGGAAACCAATGAAAATGGCTTTTTTAAAAAATCACAAGACGCTCGCAAGTGACTACACATATAACATCCATGTTACAACAAAACCAGCCTGATAACAGAAAAGCGCACAAAATAAATATTCTGAACAATCGCCATCCCCCATGATTGGGCTATCCTATATGTAACAAATGGAGGCAAAATCCATAGTTTTAGCTGTACCCCAAGAGACACTTCATTTATAAGTCATTTTTTATCAGAAATAAGACCATCATTTTATGGAACTTTGTATTTAAAGAAAAACCCAAGGATACGCTTACACGCTTAAGCGTGTAAGGACAAAAGAAGAAATTATAATTTAACAGTTTTCATGTTACTCTATTTTATCAAAGCAACTAGAAAAAAATATTATGATGGGAAGATCTCACACAGGTGAAGGGAAGCAGTGGGGAGGAGGGGAGGGTTAGGTTGAATTTGGGAAATAAAATAATATATGGGACAGCAAAGGATATAATAGATTCTTACAGAATAGTAATATATTGTAACCAGAATAGAAGTTTAAAAGGGGAAGTACATAAATATACTTTTAGTATTTTCATTATTGTAATAGTTATTATTATTTCTTATCGGTAAAAGGAAATGTTAATTTAGGCTTCTTCGTTTTGCTGTCTGTATAATTTTGTTTTTTATGCCAATAAAAAAAATTAGGAAAAGAAAAGCCCAAGGACTCCTTCCAGCCCAATGATATGGTCAAATGAGCTGCTATTAACAGAAAAAAATGGATGGCTGTATGGCAGCCATTTCTCCATACTTCTCATGTCCACACCTTAAGGAAGGAGATGAAGAAATGGCTGTTGTACAGCCATCCGAACACAGGCCTTCCAACTGTGCTACCCAAAGCAAAGCAAATGCACCAGCCCTGTCGTTTTTCTTCTCTCAACCTGGGCACCCTGCCTGCAGTTCATTGGAAAACAGCTTTTCTCTCCCTCCCTCTTCCAGGGCCGGCCCTGCCCTTAGGCAGGGCAAGGCAGGGGTCTCAGGCGGCAGATGCTGGGGGACTGGCACAGTGTCTTGGAAGAGATGGGTGCACTTTCCTCTGCCCTCAGGTGCAGTGGAGGGCACTGAAGGATTCAGCTGCCCTATACATAGACCAAAGGGGCCATCTTGCCCTCCACCGCAGGCAACAAAATGTCTTCAGCTGGCCCTGACTTCTTCTTTTCATCCAAATCTCTGTTCAATTAATGTCCCAGAGAGGCTGCTTACCTGGAAGTCACCCTTCTGATCCGGCAGGCCTGCAATGTACACTTAATAATAAGAATAATAAAATTGAAATTTTATTTATATCCCGTCCTCCCCAGCCGAAGCCGGGCTCAGAGCAGCTAACAGCAATAAAAGTAACCCAGCGTTCTAAAATCAATTCATTCTAAAATCAAATTAATGGCAGCCATTGGGCTAGAGTTCTATGAGGATTACCAAAGGAGCGGGGTCAGACTGTGCCTTAGCCAAGGGTGCCCTTTGCACATGATCAGAGGCACTGATGCATGTTACCACCACGTCAAATATTCCAGGGCTTAGCCTGAGCACTGAGGACAGGCGAGATGCCAGAAGGAGCATAGAACGCTTAGGCCTTGAATTTCAGTTCCCCTCATATAAAGTTAGCAATAAATGTTGGAAATGCAAAGAAAAAGAGGGAACATTTTATCATATGTGGTGGGAATGTAAAAAGGTGAAAAACTTCTGGGAGATGATATATAATGAGATGAAAAAAATGTTGAAATATACATTTGTTAAGAAACCAGAAGCATTTTTACTTGGCATTGTAGGAGATGATATAAACAGAAAAGATTGTAAGTTGTTTTTATATGCAATGACGGCAGCAAGAATATTATTGGTACAAAAATGGAAGCAAGAAGAATTACCAACAAAAGAAGAATGGAGGGTGAAATTGATGGACTATGCAGAATTGGATAAACTAACTAGAAGAATTCGAAACCTGCGGGACCAGAGATTCACAGAAGACTGGTGTAAATTTACGGACTATTTGAAAAGTAATTGTGATGACCAGATTACGTTTGTAGGTTTGTGCGAAGTTTTGTGAGGTGAATTATTTGAATTATTGCAAAAATGGTTAAAGAGGTGGATTGTGAGTTAAGATAATTAAAGGCAATAGGAATTTAAGAAATGCAGAAGAAATGATAAAAATGGTGGATCATCAGAGGTGCTGATGGAAGTCCAAAAAGATTGTATAAGATGTGAAGTTCTGTGGAATGTATAAAAATTGGTATGTTGAAATTAATAAAAATTATATATGTAAAAAGAATTTCAGTTCCCCTCTGTGCAATGGCGGTAGAAGTACACCCTTATTCTGCCAGTCTATCCTCAGAGAAGGAAGATTTCAGGAGAAATAGCCAGGGAGGCTGATCCCTGACTTCCCAGCCTCAGCTCAGAGTTGCTGCTTTTGCTGCTGCTGCCGCCGCCACACAGCAGAGCCCACCCTTTATCTGCAGCCTCCAGCCGGGAGCAAGGCAAGGGGTAAGCAGCTCTGACAACCAGATGCAGATTCGCAGAGCAGGTGGAAGGACACTTTTGGCGGGGAGACTCTCCTTCAGCCGTGCAAGCATGGAGCGAGGCTGGAGACACGCCGCTGCCCTCTGGGTCCTGGTTCTCTGGGCCTCCGGCTCGTCTCACAAGGGGCTTGGGAACCTGGGCGCCAGCTTCGACAGCAAAGGTACCATGCTTTGAAGATAGGGCTGGCCACCTGGGCCCTGTCAAAGTGGGGGGGGGGCGGTCGAAGGGGATAAGAGAGCAATTGCCAGGGTGGGGAGCTGGGGGTCAAGGAGTGAAGAGAGCTCAAAGAGAAGCTAAGAAATTGCCTGTTAATGTACTGTGCGTGCCCAACATGCAACTGGTCAGACAGAGTCTCTTTCCAGTACAGTGGTACCTCGGGTTACAGACGCTTCAGGTTACATACGCTTCAGGTTACACATTCCGCTAACCCAGAAATAGTGCTTCAGGGTAAGAACAGAAATTGGGCTCCGGCAGCGCAGTAGCAGCAGGAGGCCCCATTAGCTAAAGTAGTGCTTCAGGTTAAGAACAGTTTCAGGTTAAGAATGGACCTCCGGAACGAATTAAGTACTTAACCCAAGGTACCACTGTACTTCATCTGCTCCTCGTGGTTTTCATGTAAACTTTCTCTCTCTCTCTCTTCCTGCTCTTTAAGTACGATGAAACACTGTACTCAGCCGCGTTGAAAGTAGAAATTTTGCAGCTTGGCAGACATTGCTCCTTTAAAGAAAAAAGGAGATCTGAGGGGTTTAACTCATGGAGCAGGTTATTGTAAGGCCTGGTGGATTCTTCTTGTAAATTTGAAGTCTCTCAGCTTAAAAAGAAAGAAAAAGGATCCATCCTTTAACTGTGGACACCAGTGTCGGGGTAACCTGGAAGGAGTACAGGTTGAGGCAAAGCGGGGGGTGAGAATTATTGGGTCTATTTCTGTTGAAGGTAGGAGGTGGCTGATTCAGAGGTCAATGAAATAAGGCACCAATAAGACATCCCCAAAGTTTGAGGTTCTAAAGCTGCAGGCTTTCAGATCTTTATATACTGTGCAGCATGTTTGTTTTCCTGTGGGAAAGAATATGTCTGTGGACAACCCTCTGTTCAGTCCTGGCCACACATCCCTCGCAAGTAGACCTGAGGGTGTATTAACAAAGCAGATGCAAAATTTCAGAGTGCACAATTTCCAATGTGGCAATTTTGACATCCCTGTTCCCCTCAGACAGCTGAAGTCCAGTAGTTAAAGCTTACAGGGTGAGGAAATACAATGTTGTTTCCTGACTTCACCCATGTAGTCATTAGATTTGTAAACCCAGTAGTTAGATGTGTGGGATTTACGATGGCGGCAGATGCTCTCTTGGAAAGTTGCAGACCCACCTACCCAAATGGGAAACGTAGAAAAATAAAATGTGAAATGCAGATTTGCTTCCATTGGGAAGATTGTAATATGTGAGCAAGAAACTACTTTGACCCTGTTATTATTATTATTATTTTCTGGTGGAATTCCACATCCATAATGTGTGTGTTCCTACTTAGTTTAAATATTACCTGCCTAAATATTAAGATACTTGGTAATGAATAGCTGCTCTGTAGACTATAAAACACATGTGATTTAACAAGTCTGCCTGTGCGTGGCTTGTTTGCCTAGGGGAGTCCGATATAGTTCGTTCAGTTTACTTAAGGTCAATTTAACGCTTGCTCATTATTTTATGACTGCAGCATCTAGTGAGAACTCACCATATGAAAATGAGGCTTTTTAATGGTTCTTATTTGACTTGTGTCAAATTAAGGAAGCTTTTATTCTACCCTAGACCCCTGTTCAGTTTTGAGCTGCAAATTGTCAAGTGCAGAAGAATCAAGTCATGAACCGGGGGTCGGGGGGCCAGTCCTTCCGCTTAAGACAATTTCCAATCCTATGCCCAAATCCAACAAAAGGAAATTTACCTGTTGCCTCCATTTTTGAATGCAACTTTTCAACAAGGGAAGCGTATGAGTGCAAAGGGCATTTGCTTGCCTGGGCTTTTACACCATCTCTTCAGCTAATACGGTTTATTTTGATCTGGGCTAAACCTATTCTGTTTTTGCAGCTTTGTGCATTTTCCACATTCAGGGGCACATCAATCTCTGCATTCTTGGGATAAGCAAGCAGCCAAGCAGCCATCCCACATCTTGTAGTTTCAGCAGAAGCAGATTTCATTTGCTTTTGTCCTCTTATTCCTGCAGTCTCCATTTCGATAACAAAAGAAGTGCAAACCTAGACAACAACTTAACAACTGCTGTTCTCTGTTGTTGACAGTTTCCCAAGGGATGCTGTTTCTGTAGTGCGGAAAACTGGGGATGGAGGAACAGGAGAATTAAGGAATTGTATTAACTCTGTTTCCGTTGCTCACCTTGAATCACACACACACCATGACGCCCAGCCCAGCCCTTGTCTCCATGTGGCTAACTAAAAACCATTGGTCTGACCCCAATGGGTGAGGCTAAGGATTCCTGGCAGACCCATATAAAAAGTGGGTGGGTGGGAGAAACAAATGGCTGCCCCCTCCTCTTTCCTGTACTTTCTCCCGCGGCCTAGACTCTACTGGGACTGAGGGTGTGCAGCCAGCTCTTATCTCGGGGAAACAGATGCCAGATGGAGGTGGCTGTAAGACTTCTGTGTTTGTGTGCGTAACGTAAGGAAGAGAGCTGGGTCATAAAATACATAGCTGCCGATCATGTGACTTTGCATATGACAGTTTGTACTGTTTCCCTTAAAACAACAACAACAACAATAATCCAACAAAATCTGGATTCTATGGCGGTAATGAAGTTGCTTTCATTACCAGAACCCTATCCGAAGGCATTTAAAGGAAGAAGAATAAAAACGAGAATATCTTTGAGCATGCACAGAGTGCTGTTCCTTTGCTGCTGCTATTACTGTATTTCATGCATTTGTAAGCCCCTTTCTCTGCAAAAAGGGCACGGAATGTGGCATGTAATAAAGACAGCATGAAACGGCTGTGCAAGATTAAGAAAGGAATTACCGTAAAAACGGGATTTCTGTGCAGAAAATGTAGAAGGTTGCTGGGACCAGAATTCAGCTTCCTCAAGTTCAAATGTTCTATTATGAGCAGCATGTGGCTGTCACTAAATGGAACCTCATTTCTGTGAGCCCCAGGTGATGTTTAGCTATGCTGTCGTGTGTCGTCTGTCGTTGGGACATGGGCATGGCAGGAATTTTCCCCACTTGGCTGATTGGCTGTTGCCATTTGGGTTTCACCTGCCACGTAGCAAATCGTCACAACTTGTAAGGTTGTGGATAGGCTCTGGTTCATGTGATAGGGATGGGAGAACGCTCTCGCCATCCCTATGTGAAGGGTATTCTGTTAAAGGAGTCCAGGGACTCGATGGTTTGTTGAGAGGGAGTTGTGCCTGTGCCTGAGTCCAGGGGGACATTTGGGTGGCGGAGTTAGCCCGTTCCCAACTTTCCGCTTTTCCAGGTGTTCACCCTTGGCTGACCTATGCTGGAACCCTGGGTCAGCGCTACCTGCATGGCAGGAAGCTAGTTGAACCAGAACCTATGCAACCAGTCACTTTCTGTAATCAATAAAGTTGTGGCCTAAATTCTGCCAAAAACCAAACCAAAATTTTGAGTCATGTGTGAATTTATTTAGGGGGGAGGTTTCAAAGTCTGGACATGCAAATGAAATTTGGAAGGCTGCTTCAATGGGGGACTATTGAAATTCTCCCAACAGTCCATAAGCGGCTGGAGAAAAGCCCCAGAGATTTCACCCCAGAAATTTCAGCATGACCCTAATTTTTGGTTCTGAACGCACAGCTTCCCTGGGCAAGAATGAGACGGGTGATGGTGTTGGGCGGGGGGGGGGGGCAGGGAGCCCCTGCCTTTCCATTCCTATGGGTAACAGACCCTCCGAGTGTCCCCATTTTCCAGGGACAGTCCCGGATTTACAGAAGCCGTCCCGGTTTCTGATTTGATCCTGGAATGTCCCACCTTTCCTTAGGACGTCCCTTTTTCCATCAGAGAAATCTTAGAGTTTTTGGAGTTATGCGACCCCTGACCCAAGGGGATAAGGAACTATACAACCTTAGAAGACATCTGAAGGTGGCCCTGCATAGGGAAGGTTTTTGTTTTTGTTTTTTTAAATGTTTAATGTTTTATTATGTTTTTATATATGTTGGAAGAGACCCAGAGTAGCTGGGGCAACCCAGTCAGATGTATGGGACATTGTTGTTGTTGTTGTTGAATAGGACGTCCCTATTTTCTTCGGGACGTGGGTGGCGCTGTGGGTAAAAGCCTCAGTGCCTAGGACTTGCCGATCGAAAGGTCTGCGGTTCGAATCCCCGCGGCGGGGTGCGCTCCCGCTGCTCGGTCCCAGCGCCTGCCAACCTAGCAGTTCGAAAGCACCCTCGGGTGCAAGTAGATAAATAGGGACCGCTCTGGCGGGAAGGTAAACGGCGTTCCGTGTGCTGCGCTGGCTCGCCAGATGCAGCTTTGTCACGCTGGCCACGTGACCCGGAAGTGCCTCTGGACAGCGCTGGCCCCCGGCCTCTTGAGTGAGATGGGCGCACAACCCCAGAGTCTGTCAAGACTGGCCCGTACGGGCAGGGGTACCTTTACCTTTACGTACTTTATTTTCTTCGGAGAAATGTCAGAGGGTATTTGGTAACGTTATGCCTGTATGTCTGCTTTGCACCTAGCTGCGTATCTGTTGACGGAGGACCGTTCGGACCTCAAGTGTTTCACCCAACAGCTGGAAGACCTGGCCTGCTTCTGGGAGACATTTGTACCCCCGATGGAGCAAAACAACCAGAGCGTGTACAGCTTTGGATACAAATATGAGTAAGTGTGTGTAGAAGCTGCACCAGAGCCAGCCAGTCTCAGAGGCTCAGCTTGATCTAGTCTACAGATCCTCTAAGAGCCTGAGGATGTTATGGGGGTTTCACCTAAGACTTTCTGCATCGTTTTCATTGTATGTGTTATATTTATATAGTGGCTTACCTCTTAGGCACTCAAGGCAGCAGCGTACATAGAATCATAGAGAGTTGGAAGGGACCACAGGGTCATCTAGTCCAACCCCCTGCAATGCAGGAATCTCAGCTAAAGCATCCATGACAAACAGCCATCCAACCAACCTCTGCTTAAAAACCTCCAAGGAAGGAGAGTTCACCACCTTCCATTATATTCCCTCCATGAGGGCTGCCATTCCGGTCCAACATAATCATTAGTAACAAATAGTTCCATATGAGAGTATGCAGAATTAACTATACATGTGAGGGACTTTCAGGCTTAACGTATTTTATCTTATTAAAATTTATCCTTATTAATTATTATGCAAATACATAAAAAAACGAGAAGCTAATATTACAGTTTCAGTGCGAACAAGATGCCAAGGGAAGCTATACTTATATCAACAAGCTGAAAACCTGGTCTGGTTTTCCATTATTATTACTATTCCAAAACCCAATACATAGCTTCCACTTATTTTTGAACGCTTCTTTGTATTTTGATGCATCTGTACACAATACAGGTTTTCTTTTTGCAACATCGCTGACCTTTCCTAAATCTAGGATGCGTTACTCCCAAATTCTTCCCTCCCACATCTCTCTTCTGTTTTGAAGGACTCCTGGGAGATGCATCAAAGTGGTGTTAGTAGATTGCGTCTGTGTAAAATATATACAGAAGTGCCAAAATAGGAAAGAGTTGGGTCAGAATGAGGGTCGTACCTGTAGTGTTAGTCAAATAGGTTTCTGTGTCCCAAAAGTCCCAGGAGCTTGTATTTTACCCTCACATTCCTCAGACACCCAGAGGTTAGAAAACTGATTTTTATTCTCACAACAATAGATCTTGAAATGTACTAAAAGATTCTGACAGTAAGTGCTGTTTAACAGTGGAATGGACTATCTTGGAAGCTGGTGGACTTTCATTCCTTGGAGGTTTTTAAGCAATGGTTGGAGGGCCACCTGTTACGGATGCTTCAGTTGAGATTCCTGCATTTCAGGGGTTTGGACTCAGGGTCCCTTCCAGCCTTTCAGTTCTATGATTCTATGATAAACACGCCTAAGATTGCTCTGTGAGTGTAGCTATCCTGCATGTAGTTATCTTGAGTGGGCTCCTTTGGAAACATGGGAAGTAGAAAGAGGAGGCTGAGGTGGTGGAGGAGAGAGAATGGGCAGAGAAGACAGGGCACAGAAATAGGAGCTTCTGAAACGAGGAAGGTTGACGTTCACATATTGATTTGCGAGAGACACATCGTCTCTCTACTTCACGAAGAAATTGTATGCCTCAAAGGTAACGTGATGAGGAGGCCATTCAAAGGTGGGATGAACCAAAACAACTTTAATGCAAGTGCTTTATGGAGAAGAAAGCCAGTTCCACACCAGGCTGCTTCTTCAAATGTAGAGCAGGAACTCTGAGAGCTGACTTGTATGGCAGGCCAGAAGGGCCAATACACTACAGTTGAGTATGTAAAATTTAGTCCTACTCTGACTAGCGTTGACAATGAGCTTTACAGGTCAAAACTGCCCCAAGGGACGTTGGCCTTGACCTCAAGAGCCCCCCCCCCTAAATTCCCATCTTCTTCCTTCAACCCTACTGGGCACAATACTTGCAACAGAAGCTGCTTCCCAAACTTTAAATAATAATACAGTATTTCCCGCCTGCTTTCATTCAGGGACGACGACTCTTTGAAATTGTGTAACTTGACTGTGGAGTACACACCCCGGAATACAACGCGATACACTTGCTTCTTTCCGAGGCAAGATGTTTCAGCCTTTTCCCCTCTTGAGATCAAGGTCTTTGATGGGCGCTCCCCCAAGAGCACTCTGTACAACAGAACGATCTTTGTGGAAAAACTACGTAAGTTCCCAATACGAGGGGGGGGGGTGGGCCTTGCAAGAAATGACCTGCATCTGCCTGCAGGTCTTCCTAGAGTGGATGGGTGGGTAGGAATCTGGGAGCAAGAAGAATGTAGATCAGGATCATAGACTCATAGACCCTGAGGATCGTCTAGTAGTTAAACCCCTTGCAATGTAGAAATATGCAGCGGTCCCTTACGGGGATCAAATCTGCATCCATGGCATTATCTGCAAAACGGTAGAACTCTGGGTTATTTGAACTCTGGGTCAGCAAAGGTTTCTGGCTCCCAGTGGATTAACGATCGCAACAGCAAAACGACCCCTTTTCACCTGAATTAGGCCATCAAAATGAAGAAAGCGCAAGAGGAATAGACTTTTGTGCAAAAGAAGGGTGAGCTCAGTTCTGGTGCGGAAAAGAAAACAAGTTCAGAATGTGCTCAGAGACACCCTAACCCACACCACACTTCCCTCAAAGAATCCTGGGAACTATAGTATGCTAAGGGTGCTTAGAGTGGCAGGGAGATGTCCCACAGAGCTTCATTTCTCAAAATGCTCAACAAACCGCAGCACTTCCACCCCACTAGTATAATCCAGGTTCCAGACTACCTGAGTCTAAGGAAGACTTGTGTTTGTGTGGGGAGGACTAGTAATGTTTTGGACTACAAGCCCCATCAGTCCCAGCCTGCTTGGCCAAAGGTCAAGGGTGATGAGAGTTGTATTATAACAACGTCTGCTGGGTACCAAGTTGGTGAAGGCTACCTTATCTATACCTTTACAGTGGTACCTCAGGTTATAGACGCTCCTGGTTACAGACTCCGCTAACCCAGAAATAGTACCTCAGGTTAAGAACTTTGCTTCAGGATGAGAACGGAAATCGTGTGGCAGCAGCAGGAGGCCCCATTAGCTAAAGTGGTACCTCAGGTTAAGAACAGTTTCAGGCTAAGAACGAACCTCCAGAATGAATTAAGTTCTTAACCCGAGGTACCACTGTACTACAACAGAGGCAGAAACTGGAGAGGTGAAGCTTTCTGATCTCCATTCTTAAACCTGTTCAGTTCCTATACTGTATGTTTTACAACTGTTAAAGTCACAGAAACATTGCTTAGAGTGAGTAGTAGTGGTCAGTGCTTTTTTCTGGGGCTTAAGGGCGCTTAGAGTGCTTTTCTTTTAAATGTGCTTGTGCACATTTGCTCACAAGATCACACTGAGTTCAGTGGAGCTTACTTAGGGTTGCCATGTGTCCTCTTTTTCCAGGACACGTCCTCTTTTTCAGGGGTAAAATTTCTGCCCAGGTGGATTTTTTAAAAATTGGCCAAAATGTCTCTGGCTATACTTTCTGGATGAGACATAGACATAACTGGTGGTTGAAGACTTGCTTCTCTTCTCCTGCCCACCCCACCCCCACCCCCCATAGAGATAGATCACAGCTTCTACAGCCTACATACAGTAGGGGTATTTAAAATGAGAGTTGTCATAGTGTGCTCTTTTTTGCTATTCAAAATATGGCAACCCTAAGCTCACTCCCAAATAAACGTAGCCTGTAGTGCCCAGCCAGTAGATCAGCCGCACTCTTTGTGACCATAAACTACTTGGGGTATTTTTTTTTGGGGGGGGGAGGAACAGAGGCTACCTGTGCAGTCAACTGGAGGAGGCAAGATAACGTGAATTTGCACTAGATAGGAAAGAGGGAGCAGTTGATGTAGGCTTGGCCAAGCCAGTAGGCTTGGTCTTTATTGAAGACTGTCGCGACAGGACTCCCACCTGCCACCAGGTGAAACGAGATGGAAGCCCCAAACAAAAGAGAACCCAAACTTTTATTAGCTGCTAATCCCCATGTTACACCCCCCCCAAACTACATCACTAATACATCATGGTTACATCATGAAAGGGGAGGTCTGGTGGCAGGAATCTGAGCATCCTGGACCCTGCCCCATGGTTCTCCTTGCCCTCCACCAAACACCCATCAAGTGTAACAAAAGAGATATTTACATTTCCCTGTTTCCCAGCCAAGTTAATCACACCCTTTTGTCTTCATCCGGGTTTGTTATTTCTGGAATGGCCACCTGTCTGGCACTCAGGTATCAGGATGCCAGGAATTATCACTCAGGCAGAGGGGCTGCTGAGTAGCTGAGCTCACATGTCTATATGAATTTCTGAAGTTTTCCCAGGGAGGCAGTACATAAGTAAATTTATCAGTGAATTGTTACATTTGGTATTGTGCAGCAGAGGCCCTTTGAATAGATAAGAAGAAACTGTGATGAAATGTTTTGTGGGGACAAATCACAAAAGTCACAAAAGCGATTGTGCTGATTTTGGTAGTGGGCTGCATGTGCATGATATCTGCTGGAGGGGCAACCCCCAACCAACCTATACATAAATTCCTGCAACAGTGTAAAAAGAAAGAAGACCTCTATTCTGTCGCCACTGGGCTATTCTCACATCTTGCTCCTTTCCTCTTCCAGTTTTCCTGGACCCCCCCTCTAACCTGGCAGTGCAGCTGTTGGGGCCTCCGGGACAGCTGAATGTGAGCTGGCAGCCCCCCATTCAATACATGGACAATAGCATCCGCTATGAGATGGCCATCTTCCATAAGGGTAGCATAGTCCAGCGGGTAAGTCGCTTTTGTCCTTTGTTATGTTGTAAACAAAAATCTGCCTTTTTTCCCTTATGGGGTTTCCAAGACCCCATGTAGAGTCCTTACGTAGGTTCCCTATTGGTAGGAGAAAATAACAGAGGCCAACCAGAGAATATTGAGAAGCAAAGCAGCTAGTAAGCCTGATCTTTATTGATCTGTTGCAACAGGGTCCTCACTCAACCACACGCAGGAGGGAGGAGGAACCCAGAGCAAAAGTGTGCCTGCCCTTATATAGACATTTTAAATTCCCTCCCTGGAGTCCAAGACCACCCCCAGAAACATCATACATACATCACAGAAGGGTTGTAACCCAAGACCACCACCCCCACAAACATCATGCCTACATCACAGAAAAGGCGGTCTACAACAGAAATCTGAGCGCGTTGTTTATCTCCTGTCTGCCAGGTTATTTGTTAATGCTTACTTGATTGGATACCCTGAGGAGCCTGGCCAGTCTTTTGTAATGATAAATACTTAGTTCCTGAGCCAGGTCACAGGCTCACACCCTATTTTATCTTAAATGTGCCCTTAAGACATGATTTGTGAAGGAAAAGACAATGGGGAGACTTTTCCATTTTCCTTTGACCTTGCAGAGAAAACATTTGGTAAGTTTGGGAATAAAAAATGGCTTCAGGTCGGTCTTCCTGTGCTGATCTATGTACGTGCTTGGTTGGTACACTTATGAACATTTAATATATATCTAAGACCTCAAAATTCCGGTCACAGTTACCTGGCTTTCGAAACTCCCTCCTCCACTCCCTCTGACCTCTGCTTTCCCCCCCTCTGCCTCCAGGTGGAGATTTCCAATGGGCAGACATATTACCTTCGGAATCTCAAAGGAGGAACCCGCTACACGTTGGCTGTGCGGGCCAAGCCAAACGGAGTCAGCTTTGATGGCTTCTGGAGTGGATGGTCGCAGACAGCATCGGCAATGATACCCAGTGGTAAGTGTTCTTCAGGCAATATTGGTCGCAGCCATGGTGCAGGGCCGGTTGAAAATAGCCGCTTAATTAGCATGGAGCGATGCTCATAAAACCACGAGAAGCTGAGAAGCTGCTTTTAAGGAAAAATGAAACAAAAACCAAAGCAGCATTAAAATAAAATAAAATAGTGGGCACCTTCTGAGAACCCAAAATCAACAAGAATGGAAGCCTCAATAACACTGGAACCAAAATCCCAAGCCTAAGGAATCCAAAACAGAGCACAATTCACTTTACATCTGTCCAGCACATCCGTTCGAAGAGAATAGGACCTCTGCAAAAAGATGGGAGAATTTTCCTGCCACTTTTCAATTCTCAACCATGGCTTCTTCCAGAGAGCTATTTTCTGCCCAGATGGTGCATAAACTGGTGGTGCTGATGAAAGACAGGCAATTGTGGTTGTGTGTGTGCGCGCGCGTGTGTTAGATAGATCCACTGTAGATGGAAGAAAGTCCCTATTTCCCTTGCATTTCTAGAAGACAATGGCAGCCTGCAATTATTTTTCTTTGAGGAGATATCTGAATGCCCTGGCCCAACCAATAACAAAACTCTGATATCAGTGGGGACAAAAAAACCCAGCTTGTTAAGCTTGTGGGAGTATTGTTGGGGGAGAACAAGAATCTGAAGTATCCAAAGCCATTTTGGTTCCCTAATACAGCCCCGAATAAGGAAGAAATTTAGACCACTTCAGAAACTGGTCTAAATTTCTCCTGGAAATTTATGTTATAACAGTTAAAATTGTGAAAAATGAAACAGACATAGGGTTGACGTATTTTGAAGTACAAAAAAGAGGACGCTATGACGTCTCATTTTAAATACCCTTACTATATGTAGGCTGCAGAACAGGCATCCCCAACCTTTGGCCCTCCAGATGCTTTGGACTACAATTCCCATCATCCCTGAGCACTGGTCCTGTTAGCTAGGAATCATGGGAGTTGTAGGCCAAAACATCTGGAGGGCTACAGGTTGGGGGTGCCTGCTATAGAAGCTGTGATATATCACTGAGGGGGGGGCAGGAGAAGAGAAGAGAAAAACAGGTTTTCAACCACCAGTTATGTCTATGTCTCATCCAGAAAGGATAGCCAGAAACATTTTGGCAAATATAAAACATCCACCCAGACAGAAACTTTACCCCTGAAGAAGAGGACCTGTCCTGGAAAAGGAGGACACATGGCAACCCTATCAAGAGTGCCCCTCCACTCTCACTTCCACACTGCTTGTGAGAGCCTTGCAGAGCTTTGAATGGGCAACAATGTGCGCGCACGCACACACACACACACACACACTCCACCAACTAGCCATAATATTTCATAAGGTAACGGTAACGGGACCCCTGACCATTAGGTCCAGTCGTGACCGACTCTGGGGTTACGGCGGTCATCTCGCTTTATTGGCCAAGGGAGCCGGCGTACAGCTTCCGGGTCATGTGGCCAGCATGACTAAGCCGCTTCTGGTGAACAAGAGCAGTTCACGGAAACACCGTTTACCTTCCCGCTGGAGCGGTACCTATTTATCTACTTGCACTTTGATGTGCTTTTGAACTGCTAGGTTGGCAGGAGCAGGGACAGAGCAACGGGAGCTCACCCAGTTGCGGGGATTCGAACCACCAACCTTCTGATCGGCAAGTCCTAGGCTCTGTGGTTTAACCCACAGTGCAACCCGCGTCCCAGTATTTCAGTTAGGGTTAAATTGAAGATCATATACTATTGGTCTGCTTGTCATTTTGCTAGACTGCTTGTACTTATATTTACCCCATATTCTTAGTAAATTTGCTATGACCGTTATCCTTGTTTAAACTGGTTTCCAATATTTCATTAATAAAACTTGTAGATTAAATTGTCTTCAGAATGGTTCAGTTTGAACCCCAGTCATCTCTAGATTGTGTATCCATTCTGTTAGCTATTTAAAGGCATTGGCAATACAGTGGTACCTCGGGTTAAGTACTTAATTCGTTCCGGAGGTCCGTACTTAACCTGAAACTGTTCTAGACCTGAAGCACCACTTTAGCTAATGGGGCCTCCCGCTGCTGCTGCGCCGCCGGAGCATGATTTCTGTTCTCATCCTGAAACAAAGTTCTTAACCCGAGGTACTATTTCTGGGTTAGCGGAGTCTGTAACCTGAAGCATATGTAACCTGAAGCGTATGTAACCCGAGGTACCACTGTATAAATATAAATGGAAATGATATGCCACCCTTTTCTCTTGTCCAGCAAAACAACTTATTTAATTACCGTACTTTTTGCTCTATAAGACTCACTTTTTCCCTCCTAAAAAGTAAGGGGAAATGTGTGTGCGTCTTATGGAGCAAATGCAGGCTGCACAGCTATCCCAGAAGCCAGAACAGCGAGAGGGATTGCTGCTTTCACTGCGCAGCGATCCCTCTTGCTGTTCTGGCTTCTGAGATTCAGAATATTTTTTTTTCTTGTTTTCCTCCTCCCAAAACTAGGTGGGTCTTGTGGTCTGGTGCGTCTTATAGAGCGAAAAATACGGTAATTCTTGGCTGCTTCCTGTTCCATATAAATTGCACAACTAGGCTTTGCCACATTTTAAATTAAGATTCATTTACTCATCTTGCCAAAGCCTGAAAAATGACATTTATTTGGGGCAAGATGTGGTCAAATAAATATGTTTAAGCTATTCCATTGTTCTGCTTTGGAACTTCTTTTCTTATATAATCTTCCCAAAATTATCTGCATAGAAATGCTTTCATTTTTTCTTAATATTATACAAATATCACACAGATCTCTTACTTACTCATTGGTGATCTAACTTTGTTCTTTTTTAAAACATCACTTTGTATATGTCAATATATATTGATTATTTCTGTTTTGTCCTTGTTAATTTTAAGGCAAACAAGAAGACCAATATTGAAAAAAGAATCTTCTCCAGCTACAGATAGAATTTACAATCTCTATTATTGTTTAGGCATTGCTGTGAAGACAGTTACATACCAGCTATTTTTCTGTGTGCAGTTCCTTTGTTTTCTGCATCTATTACTGCACCAATGTTTCTTATGCTTCTTAAAGGTTCCAAACGGAGAACAAATAGTGAAAATGACAGGACCTCTGTGTCTTTTTCCAGTACTCAGAATGAATTTGATATTTGGTCATCAACCCCTATCCTTGCAGTTGGGCTGTTATTAATAATGTTAATCAAAGTAAAGATTTTTTTCTCTAAAGTAAGCTTTTAATGTTTTAAAAAAGAAAATACCGTTATGTTATCGAAAGCTTTTTCTGCATCAAAACCATTAATAAAGGCTGTGATTTTACTTCCTTTACATGAATAATTGTGTTTATATTTTTCCATACATTATCCTTCAAATATCAGTTTGATATAGACCCCGTTAATCTCCTATTCCAATTTTCATCTGTTATTTGTTCTCATTTTTGCAATCTTTCATAGTTCCCATTCTTCCGTCAAAATAGATTTTTCTTCCAGTCTATTGCCATTTATTTCTGCATTTCTTCCTGTTTGCCTTTCAGAGTCTCTGTTTCTCACTTTTGATATACAAAATGCTTTATCTTTTTAATATCATCCATTCTCAAAACTCGTTTTTCATGCTTAACAACAAAAAAAATACAAAAGTATGGCCCTTTAATCCAGATGCTAATATTTCACTTTCTGTTTCACAATCAATATTGCATTTTACTTTGGGCACCAAACATTGCACCTTAAACAAGAATTCTAATTTACCCACCACCAGTTATTACATTCAGCAGGATAGCAGCTATGAGAGTTTTGCCTAATAGCTGCTTTTGTACAATACTCCAGTGAAAAATAATTCAGTTATACATACAACAGCAGATACTACCCAGAAAGTGCAGCACTATTTCACTATAAGCTCAGCCACAGATATTGCAGTATGTAGTTTAGCAATTTAGTACTTGCCAGTGAGAGAAATATAACTACTAAACATACCTGGGATAGCTCAGTAGAGCATAAGACTCAAAAGATAATGGGCTTTATAGTGGTACCTCAGGTTACATACGCTTCAGCTTACATATGCTTCAGGTTACAGACTCTGCTAACCCAGAAATAGTGCTTCAGGTTAAGAACTTTGCTTCAGGATGAGAACAGAAATCGTGTTCCAGCGGTGCGGCGGCAGCAGGAGGCCCCATTAGCTAAAGTGGTGTTTCAGGTTAAGAACAGTTTCAGGTTAAGAACGGACCTCCGGAACGAATTAAGTACTTAACCCGAGGTACCACTGTATTAGTTAACAGCTCCACAGGATTTAGTTCATTAAAAGGCCCGGCATTATTTTATTGGAAAAGTAGAACTTCAGCAATTTGACAATACTAAGTTCAATAGTTGTTAATGCTCCTATTTCTAGTCCAGGACTAGGTAATCTTTGGCCCTCCAGTTGGTCATCTCTGTCCATTGACCATGCTGGCCAGGACTGATGAAACTGGAATCTACCTATAGCTGGAGGGCCACAGCTTCCCCACCTCCATCCACCTTTTTCTATTTTCTTTGAGCAGTCTATTTAGTCTTTTTCAGTTATTTGGTTTAATCAGTAGCAACCCTATATGGTGGGGGGTGGATTCACCCTCCCCAAACCAGTGCCAGTGCAACTTACCTGGACATGGTTGTGATGAGGTCAGGGCTGCATGGTTTGCTGGTGTGCCCATGCAAACTCTATTGTCACCCTGCCATGCCCCAGCTCATTCAGCTACAGTGACGCGGACATCAGGAGGGTGGCTGAGTGGTTCCACCATACCACAGGAACCTAATGTTGAAAGAGCTCATTTTTCTCCACCTTCAGTCCCCAATGTCTTCCACAAGCTACATCTGCAGCCTCTCCTTTGATGTCTTCAAATGCCATCGCCAAGCACATACTTGACACCATTGCCACATTGTTATGGGGGGTGGGGTGGAAGCCTCCCTCAATTGCTGTGGTTTCTTGCCCTTCCAACTCCCAGTTGGAGCAATAGCTTACCTTGCTCACAGGTGGTTGCTGAAGGCAGGTGCAGCTCATAGTGCTTTGACAATTCTCCCTGCACTACCTCTCCAGATAATATTTTCTAGTCTTCATTATCTGGGCCAGGAATGGAGGGGTGGCCATAGAATGGTGGGAGACTTAGTGGTCGAGAAGAATACATGTTAGAGCACTCAATTGACTAGATGATGTGATGTAATGACCACAGTTGGCCTACTCAGGAGATTTCAGCATGGTGTTCTGGCCTTGTAAGTCCTCTGAAGTATTTAACAGTCATGATTCACTATCTACCAGGACATCTGAAAAGAATCAGGTAGTAAGCTGAAATCCAGGCAAGAGCATATCACTGGTTTATCCTACCATGTCCACTGCCAGAAGTATGTGCTTCTATGTAACAGAAGATTGTGTGAAGGTGACTAGGGTACCAACCAAAGGGTTTTTTATGAAGTGCCTTTCGCTAGGCTAACCTGTTCTTTTGACTTGCAGAACTGGATCCCCTCATCCTGACGCTGTCTGTCATTCTGGCACTGATCGTTCTGCTGTTGGCTTTCCTCACCCTGATGTTTAACCGAAGGTAATGCCCAGTTTGTTTATCTTCCAACTGTGCTGGTCCCGGGGGGAAGGTTACTGTTATCGTAGTTAAAGTTCAGTCCTGAGTCACTAGCCTGGAAATAGTTCGCAAGGTGCGAGGCGAGGTCCGAAGCAGGAAGCCGGGCGGGGAACAGGAACACTGGAAAATCAGGTCTGGGTCCGGGTAAGCACAGGTACTCAACAACGACGTTGCTCCCGCAACCTGGGACCGGGCTGACTGGCCTTTATCTTCTCTGAGGCCAGGGGCGGTCCCGGCCCCCCAGGAGCCCCGCCTCTCCTGGCCTTAAGGCGAGCACTCCTCCTGGGAGAAACCAGTTCCCTTCGCCTCTCTGCCCTAAGCCTCTGCAGTTCAGGAGAGGCTGAAGGGTTACTGGGCCCAGGGGGAGACTCACCTGTAGGCACTGAGTCCTCAACCACCTCTGGAGCCAGAATGGATTCACCTGGTGCCTGCTCCTGAGGATCCGGCACAGGTGCAGGCTCCTCAGAATCAAGGCCTTGCCCCAGTTCAGCCGGCCCTGGAGGCGGGGACTCCTGTGCCGGCTGGGATTCCTCCAGTTCACTCTCTGAATCGGAATCCCAGGCCATCACACCAACCCTCCTACCCACCAAAGGGTGGGTGGCCTTCTTGAGTACCTGGACCTTGGCCATCGGGTCTGGAGGGATTGTAAGAGCATTTTCAATCGCAGCGGTTAGAGCCATCAGGAAATCCCCTAAATTGAGGAGTGGGACACCTGTGGCCCTCTCAGTGTTGCTGAACCACAATCAACACCACCGCTGACCATTGGCCAAAGTAACTGGGGCTGAAGGGAGTTGAAACATCTGGAAGGCTACAGGTGCCCCATCCCTGCCCTAGTTAGTTTTCATTACTAAGGTCAGTGCTTTTTTTCTTTAAAAAGTGTTTAGGGGTACTCTCATTTTCCTACTCATATTGAAATACTGCCCCTCAATAAGGCCAAACTCAGATTCACTAAATGTTTAGGGGTATGCGTAGCCCCAGAAAAAAAGGACTGACTAAGGCAGGGGTTGTCAACCTGGTCCCTACCACCTACTAGTGGGCGTTTCAGGATTCTATGTGGGCGGTAGGGGGTTCTACAGCACAAGCTGAATCCTCCTTCCATCAGCTCTGGTAGGCGGTAAGGAATTTTTACCATCAAGAAAGATGCATTAAGTGAGCGGTAGGTGTAAAAAGGTTGACTACCCCTGGACTAAGGTGGTGATGGAGTGGGAATGACTTTTAACACTTGTGATTGTTCTGCACATTCTTACTAAAGTCTGTTCTCACCTATTATCTTCCACCAGATTTTTGAAGAAGAAGATCTGGCCTGCAATCCCCACCCCAGAGCGTGAATTCAAGGACCTTTTCACTATTTACAAGGGGAACTTCCAGGTATTACACTGGCTGTAGTTCCTTGTCTTCATATGACTTCTCCCTCGGCTTCCTGTATTATGCTGTTGCAAAGCCTGTGGTGCTGAGGGTCCTGTGTTTCGTCAACTGTTTTGCAGTTGTTGTTTTTACAATCGATTTGCGTATACCGTATTTTTCGCTCTATAAGACACTCCTAAAAAGTAAGGGGAAATGTGTGTGCATCTTATGGAGCGAATGCAGGCTGCGCAGCTATCGCTGAAGCCAGAACAGCAAGAGGGATTGCTGCACGGCGATCCCTCTTGCTGTCCTGGCTTCTGGGATAGCTGCACGAAGCCTCTTCAGGGCAGGGGGAGCCTTCCTCCCGCTGCCCTGAAGAGGCTTTGCGTTGCATTCGCTGAAGCCAGAACAGCAAGAGGGATTGCTGAGCAGTGATCCCTCTTGCTGTTCTTGGCTTCTGGGATTCTTGTTTTCCTCCTCCAAAAACTAGGTGCGTCTTATGGTCTGGGTGCATCTTATATTATGAAAAATACGGTGAATTTTATGAAATTAGTAAATAAAAGGAGTGTAAAGAAGAGAGAGAGGGGACGCGGGTGGCGCTGTGGGTAAAAGCCTCAGCGCCTAGGGCTTGTCAATCAAAAGGTCAGCGGTTCGAATCCCTGCGGCGGGGTGCGCTCCTGTTGCTCGGTCCCAGCGCCTGCCAACCTAGCAGTTCGAAAGCACCTCTGGGTGCAAGTAGATAAATAGGGACCGCTTACTAGCAGGAAGGTAAACGGCGTTTCCGTGTGTGGCTCTGGCTTGCCAGAGCAGCGATGTCACGCTGGCCACGTGACCCGGAAGTGTCTCCGGACAGCGCTGGCCCCCGGCCTCTTAAGTGAGATGGGCGCACAACCCTAGAGTCTGTCAAGACTGGCCCGTACGGGCAGGGGTACCTTTACCTTTACCTTTAAAGAAGAGAGAAATATATAGTGCCTGAAAACAGGGTTAAAGGGAGCCAGGTGTGGCCTTCCCCACCTCCCACCCCCTAAATGCTGATATTCCCCCTTTCTTTGCAGCTATGGCTGGGGCATCAGAGCACCTATCTGTGGTGGAGCCAGAACTCTCCTTATCTGGAGGAGCAGCCGTTTTTGGTGGAAATCCTGTCTGAATGTGATGTCCGCAAGGTGGATGGCCCTCCCATTCCTCCGCTCCTTCCCCCCAAGGCACGTGGCGTGGGGGAACCCCCTCGCAACCCAGAAGTCTCCCAAGATGATTACCTGATACTGGATGAAGACTTGGTGCCGTGCTGCTTAGGAGGGGATGCTTCCCTGCTCTTGCTGGCCAGCAACAGCAGCGAGGGCACAGATCCGGCCCTCGACGCAGGAGTAGGGACGCCAGACAACAGCCAGGCCTCTTCTAGCTTCGAGTACACTGTGTTTGACCCCAGCTCAAAGAGTCTGTCCCCGCAACATTGCCACATTGAGCCTCAGCTCAAGAGCAGTTACCAGATGGTGTCTGACTCTGGGATCTCTGCCGACTATAGCCTGGTGGAGTCCAACGCTGGCCAGATGAGCTTATACACCAACCTCTGTGATGGAGGGCCACAGCCGTTCCTGCCCACCTACATTGTGTGCTCGTAGCAGCAGTGATCAGCAGGAGAACTGAGGCAGCGAGATGCTATCCCAGGAGCCTGGCACCTCCCACTTCCTTCCTGGTTCTAGCAAAATGCCAGGGGAAGCCAGTGGACACATCTATGGGGCCTCCAAAGCTCCAGTTGGGCCCAAGTCGCTCTTGTAGGAGGAAGAGAGGTTTGCAAAATGCACGGAAAGGTGATGAAGGACGTAAGAAGGACTCTGCTGGATCAGGCCTATCTAGTCGAGCATCCTGTTCTCACAGTGGCCAGCTGGATGCCTCAACGGGAAACCATTGAGCAGAACATGAAGCAGAAAATGAGCACCACAGCACTCTCCCATCGCCTGGTTTCCAGCAACTGGTGTTCAGAAGCACTTCTACCTCCCAGCTGTGGAGGTAGCGCATAGCCATCCCGGCTAATATCCCTTGATAGCCCTCTCCTCCATGAATTCGCCGGATCCCTTTTTTAAAAAGCCGTCCTATTTTGAATGGGGAAGGGGCAGGAGGCCCATGAAAGAGACCTGTTGCCCCCACAACAATACTTTGAAGCAGTCCTTTCTGACATTAAATGTGCTGTGGCATCTTTCTTTCATTTGTATTCACCCCAGGCAAGTGTGTTCTACAAGGCTGCGGATCGGGGACTTGACCAAAAGCACACCTAGAGTTCTGGTGTGGCACAGCAGGTTTGCAAGTAGCAGCACAGGCTTAAGGCTTGAGGTGTTTATAGACTGAGGTGTGGACTATTGTGGGCACTCGCTTGCTAGCCAGGTAGCTAACTTTCTCCCACTCCACACTCTTCTGATGAAACTCCTTCCCCTCTGACCCTGCTCTGTCCTTTTAACTACCAAGCTTTTCGGCCAGAGATATTTGCCCATTATACTATGTGCCCAATTATTGCAAAAATATTTATGTCCAAATGTCAGCGTTGGGACTGATGTCTTTTGGGAGTTGAGGGGGTACGACATGGAAGAGTGTGTGGAATGAAGGAGTCTCATTTCTGCTACAATGCACTGTGTGGTCTTTGCTTACCTTCCTGTAAAATGGGCATGGCTTCCCCCCCCCCCGGCTGGAGCTCAGTTCTGGCACCTCTCAGGTGGGTGCCATTGCCATTATAAGAGAACGAGGGAGGTGTTCCCAGTGAGTCCCTGCACCTCTTTTTCTAGAAAAATAACACTGAAAATGGGGATTGACAAGACTAGGCAAACAAAATACCAATTGAAATGTTAAAAGGGGCTGTCTTTCCATTTTGGCTTGAATAAGCACAGTAACCCAAAAACTCAAAGAGAATTGCATGGCTGTTCTGCCAGCTGTTTACTGCCATAGGGTTTGCATGTGGGGCACAGAAAGGTGTGGGGATTGTACATGCCCTGTTTAGAATACTACTGTTATTTTCCCACTCAAGAGACATCTTGCGGTGTTTATGTACTCTGGTAACGGGTTTCCTTGTGTCTGAACTATCTTTCGAAGGCACAGATCAGCCTCAGTTGCTGGTGCTGCAAGGACTGTAAAATATCTGAACTCTCACAGGTATGGCCACAAAGATTTTGTAATTATCCTCTTGAATTTGTGTATCAAAACAGAAACTGGATATATTTTTATATACTCCAAAGTGTTTTTTTTTAAAATAAAAATATAAAAACAGTGTTTTTGCTCATTCTGACTCCCTTGTGCTTGTGGGAAAGAAGATGATCTCTAAATGTTCACCCAGATGCTTTTCGCATTTCCTTCTCTTCTTCCCTTTGTTGCCCAGAACTACTGAGCACCGAATCAGACCTCCGAGTTAGGAGGACACAGGTGTGGGGGTGTGGAGTCTCACAGCAACTGGGGTGCTCCTGAAAAAGACTCCAGCTTAACAGGGTAGGGCAGGAGAAGGGAAAGGCCATTCTCCATCCCCTCTGAAAACATCCCGTTGTCCTACAGATCACTGACAGTTCCACTGATGTTAGTCATACTCAGAATAGACTCATGTTTCTGCAGCTCATTGATTTCAGTGGGTCTACTCAGCACATGCCCTAGTTGGATATCACCCACTGGGTTCAATAGGATTTGCTCCTGTGTGTGTATAGGATTGCAACAACAACAAAATCCTGGCTTTGGGGGCTAACTACAAGCCCTGAAGCTAAATAAAGAGTTTGCCAAATAACAGGAAGTTTTTGAAGAAGGTGGAGCTTCTGATTTTCCCCATTCTCCCATTCCCAAAACCAACCTGTGTAGGATTTTTACCCTTGTACAAAACGTGTTGGCAGATGAGAGAGTAATCAGGGGTTTAGACCAGGCAGGCATGAAGGCAGCTGCTTGTCAACACTCAAAAAAACGTTATGCCCAACCCTTACGCCCTCTGAAAAGAGCCCGCCAGCACAGCAGGCCCAGCCCTGGCCTTGCTGCTGTGATAGGGCTTATCAGAGTGCCAGCAAGCACCTCTGTAACTGTTATCAGGGATGCAGCTTGCAAAAAGTGGCAGGAGACCAACCCGCCACTTGCTGATGTTGGGCAAACTCCAGAACAGAACCAGCATAGGCCCTTGTTTCTGGGAGAGGGGAGGCCCTTTTCCCTGTTCCGTGAGATGCTTTGGGGGGCGCGCATTGCAATGGTCCCCTGTGGCTCTGCTTTGGGCTGGTTCATGAGTCACGTCCAAACAGGCAGCTTAAGCCCAGCTGTGGTCTGTTGCAGCTCAGGCCTCACCTTCCAATAAAGTTTCCCTGGCCGCTCCAGTATTTCACCAGAACTGCCTTTAGAACTGCAGGCCCTTTGAGAAAAGAAAATGGCTTGAATCCAATGGTCTGTTGAGGAAGTGGAGCACACCGCAGGCTGTTTCTGGGAAAGCTATGGGGCTGCATCTGGTGAAGAGGTGTGTGAAACCTACAACAGTCCCCCTTCCTGTATCTGTGGCTCCAGTACAATGGGACACAGCTGGCACTGTGGTCTAAACCACTGAGCCTCTTGGGCTTGCTGATCAGAAGGTCGGCGGTTTGAATCCCCGTGACGGGGTGAGCTCCCATTGCTCTGTCCCAGCTCCTGCCAACCTAGCAGTTTGAAAGCACACCAGTGCATGTAGATAAATAGGAACCACTGCGGCAGGAAAGTAAACGGCATTTCCCTGCGCTCTGGTTTCCGTCACAGTGTCCCGTTGCACCAGAAGCGGATTAGTCATGCTGGCCACATGACCCAGAAAGCTGTCTGTGGACAAACACTGGCTCCCTTGGCCTGAAAGCGAGATGAGCGCCACAACCCCATAGTCCCCTTTGTCTGGACATAACCGTCCAGCGGTCCTTTACCTTTTTACCTTTACAATGTGATGCACATGGTGGGATGCAAAACGGCTCAAGCCACCATAGGAAACACAGCAGAAGTTACAGGGTATAGAATGTCCTTTCAGTTCATCATGCGCCCATTACAGAACAGGCGATCAGGACATAATGCTACATATTGCTGAGACTGTTTTCAGACTAAGCGGATATAAGGAGCAGAGAGGGGAACACGGCGACTTCCTGGTGTTGAAGTCCAAATTCTTGCAGTGCTCAAGTGCACTGCAAGTGCTCAAGTTTTGCTCCAAAGCCAACCAAGCTCTGGTTAGTGAGCTGCCATGTGCAAACATGGCTTCTTTTGCAGCTTGCATCACATCCTGCTACCTTTGAAGGTGACCCAGAAACTACAACTAATCCAGAATGTGTCACCTAGACTGGTTACTGGGAGTGGCCGCCGAAACCATATAACACTGATCCTGAAAGGGCTCCCAATATGTTTCCAAGCACAATTCAAAGTGTTGGTGCTGACCTTTAAAGCCCAAAACAGCCTTGTCCCAGTATCCCTGAAGAAACATCTCCACCCCCATCGTTCAGCCTGGACACTGAGGTCCAGCTCCGAGGGCCTTCTGGCGGTTCCCCCACTGCGAGAGGCAAAGTTACAGGGAACCAGGCAGAGGGCCTTCTTGGTAGTGGCAGCTGCCCTGTGGAACACCTTCCCAACAGATGTCAAGGAAATAAACAACGATCTGACTTTTAGAAGACATCTGAAGGCAACGCTGTTTAGGGAAGTTTTTAATGTTTGATGTTTTATTGTGTTTTTAATATGCTGTTGAGAGCTGCCCAGAGTGGCTGGGGAAACCCAGCCAGATGGGCGGGGTACAAATAATGAATTATTATTATTATAGCTAGGCAGTTATTTTGGGTGGTGTGGCTTACTGATTCATGGTGAGTGCCGTCCTGGAGCTGTTCCCTGCTGCCTTGAAAGAGGTTATGGAGTTGCCACTCCTAAAGGAACTGGTCCTGGGCAAAGTATTGGAAGACGCAGCAGCTACCCACTCTGGAAGAATGGCAAGCGAAGGTGATCGACTACATGGGAATGGCAGAGATGACCGGCAGAATCCGTGACCAGGGGAGTGAGACAGTGGAAGAAGATTGGAAGAAATTTAAAATATACCTTAAAAATTGTTGTAACATTGAGGAGTGCTGAGATGCTATGGTGTTAAGAAACAGAGAATTGCAGCTGTATATCATAAATTTAAGGGAATTATAATGAAGATGAGTTAATTAACTAAATGGAGGGTTGCTGTTAAAAGGGGAAAATAAGGATGCATAAAAAGGGAGGTATGGGGAAGTCCGGGAAATAAGGTGAAGGAAAATGAGTTTATGAAATTATACATGTTTATTTGTGTGTATGTTTTGTTTTGTTTTGTTGTTTGTTTTTATTACATGTTTGGAAAATTAATAAAAATTATTTTTTTAAAAAAAAAACTAAAGGAACTGGTCCTGGACATCTTAGACCAGGATAACTACTGACCAGTCACAAATACCCTTGGTTGAGGGAAGGTGGTGGGGAGACTAGTGGCTGGGCAGCTGCAAGCATGTAGCAAATTGATCCTGCAGATGGTGCTGCTCTACCCTAAAACAAGTGGCACTGAAACCATGAAGACAGGCACCAGGACCAGTGCAGGGCAATATGAGCGGTGTACCCAAATCAAGCCCCATGTGTTATATTTCACCCCAGGGGAGCACATTTACAAGAGCGAACAAACCCAGAGGGAACACAAGGGATTTCTCACATCGTGGTGCACTGAATGCGTGCCATGCACTAGGTCACAACTCCCTAGGAAGAGCATGTGCTTTGTGTATGCTTTTGACTATTCTGGGAAGCAAACATGAGACATGGCAAACATACAGACAACACCCCACCACTTGTGTGCAATTGACTTGCACGCAACTGCACATATGTGCCTTGCCAGGAAATAACTAAATAATTCAATACTAACCTGGAATGGTGGGAGAGTCCTAGTGACTCACAAGGAGACCCTCCCCAGAGTCCAAAGTCCAGGGGAAAAAATGCTCCAAGGGCTCCAAAAAGATGTGCAGGAGCTATCACTGCAACAGCTGTTGGGCAGGAAACTGTACTCACCCTGCTTATGTGCATTTCGCTTAGGAGCACTGATGCTCAGAATGTAAGCCCCACATTAGTGGGGAATCGCCTGTATGTGAAAGACCCAACACCACTTTCCCTATCTGCTGTAACCAACATAAAATAGGTCAACGGAGGGATAGAGATCTCTCTCTCTTTATTTGCTCAAGGTAATACAGTGGGAAGAATCCAAGAGGCACTTTTGCTCACCCACTCCACAGGCAACTGTCCACATCTTCCCCCCAGGTCATGCTCTGAAAACCATTTCCCTCACACCGTACAACTGGGTTTTTAAAAGACGAAAAAACAAACCCACCCAGAAGTGTGAGATTTAATCTCTTGGTGTTCTGTTTGCCGAGTCTTAGGGCACTGCTTCCTTCCAGGGCTTTTCTCTGCAACTGGCAAAACAAGAAAGGTACATTTCACACTTGCGATTGGAGGTGCAGCCAGTCTCCGGTGTAAGCAGAGAAGATGGGAAGCTGAAATGACTCTATAGTACAGCATTGGAACTTGCTGCTCGTCAAAAAACAACAACCTCTCAGCCCAAAGCTGGGAAGAAACAAACAACAAACTGGAGTAAGAAAGATGTTATCACCTGGGATGTGAATGTATGCGTTTGAGTCAGAGGTAGTTGATTACCTGAACACAAAAATGACTCAACTAAGGACCACCAGAGGCCTAAGATTGGGAGCCGAGAAAAGGATGGGCTTAAGTCTCAGGGGGTCGATTGCTCCTCGAAGCTGTGCACCCATCAACTTCCCCTTCGCACGGAAGCAGAGAAATCCTCATGTCCCCTTGTGGATCGAATCTCACCAGCCATTCTTGGTCCTTAGTGCCTGGCTGGGAGAGACGTGCTCTAATCAGCTTGGTGATGCCCTGGCTACCTGAATCAGCAATCTCCTCTGTGCTCGGATGCAGCCAGCACTGGGCTGGGAAGTAGCGCTCAATTGCCGAGAAATACTCCGCTTGTTCCCCAGCTTCTCCAGAAAGCTTCATGGAAACGACAAGCTTGCAGCCGGCAGCAGACTCCACGGGGAGCTTCTGGCTGAAATGGTTCGCCGTGTCCAGCAGCAAGGCCACAAGCTGAGCTGCCATCGCTGGGCTGGAGCAGCTGCCCAAGTATTCCTCCAAGCCATCCAGAACGACTAGGGAGAGGGAGCAGGAAAAGGTTTCATGTAGGGAGGCCACCAGCTGAAGCAGCTCCCGG